AGAACGCTGGCATGAGGCTAGCAGCATTCAGCAGGCAATTTGTCTGGTGCTAGATTCCACTCTTTCAGAGGGATTCAGTACAAGAATTTCAAATGAAATCAGAAACATATTCCAGAGGCTATACCGTTTTCACCGCAACAGAGGAGATGACGAGCGTCGAGACAGATTTAGGCTGTATGTTGAAAACATCCAAAGCCTGATGACTTGAGAAGGAATTCATAGACGTTTTCTTCACTTGAAAGGATGCAAATTCAGACAGTAGCTCTGAAACTTGCGTTGGAAAGGTGAAAATCCAATATGGGTTGCAATGTGAGCCACACCTCAAATTGCAAAGGAGGAGTGTGGAAAATTGTGGAGCCCACTCAGATGCCAATACACGTATCAGAATGACACGCACAAATCGAGAAGAGTTGACTGCATTTGTCATTTCACTTACTGGCATGAATACCATGTTCAATTGTGTATCCTGAGACCCTTTGGCACGAGAAACAGATTGCTGCGTTTTCACTTGAATCTTTGCAGAAAGATAGTTGAAAGTAAGAGCGAAAAAAAAAGTAAAGAGATGTGTTGGGTAGAAACTAGGTGGATTTGCTGATGCAAAAACATTCATCTCCCGTCGACTCTTGGTATTGCCCAAATACTGCATTCGTGTCAAGCTAGTATTAAGTTCCTGACTTTCAGCGGTATGGTTGGGCCAGTGGACATGTGGCTCCAAATACCCTAAACTGGCGCCAACAAATGCGAAGCAACTGGGTGTCAGAAGTTCTTTAAGCGTTTCGAGCTGTGAAACTGCACAAAACATCCATCCATGTGCTAGTGCGGGTGTTGGTTGCAAGCACTTGGTTGAATGCCTTGTGATAGCAAACCACTGTGTGATGGCAGGATGGGGGATGGAGTGGTATTTCACCCAACGTCCTGGAGCACACACACACAACAAAAAAAGATGGGTGGGAGGGCTGACAGCTCGAGGACAAAGACGGATTCAGAAACTGCGTCGGATTCAGAAACTAGGGATTCAGAAACTGCTCGTCAGATTCAAAAAATAAACGTGGTATTCAGAAACTATTTCGTGGGATTCAGAAACTATTTCGTCGGATTCAGAAACTATTTCGTCGGATTCAGAAACTATTTCGTGGTATTCAGAAACTATTTCGTGGTATTCAGAAACTATTCGTAGTATTCAGAAACTATTTCGTGGTATTCAGAAACTATTTCGTGGTATTCAGAAACTACTCGTGGTATTCAGAAACTATTCGTAGTATTCAGAAACTATTGTCGTCGGATTCAGAAACTGCTCGTGGTATTCAGAAACTATTTTCGTAGTATTCAGAAACTATTTCGTCGGATTCAGAAACTACTCGTGGTATTCAGAAACTATTTTTGCAGTATTCAGAAACTATTTTCGTCGGATTCAATGCTGACTCTATGGTTTCTCCCAGCAATGATTATGGTATCCCAGCAACTATTCAAAACCGCCACCCCCTCTGGCCAATACGATGCATAGGATCTTAACTTGAACTTATCTTCATGAGGGATCAAAACTGCCACCCCCTCTGGCCAATACATTGAATAGGATCTTAACGAAACTTAAAGAATAGGATCTTAACTTGAACCTGTCTTCATGAGGGATCAAAACTGCCACCCTCTCTGGCCCATACATTGAATAGGATCTTAACTTCAACTTTTCCCCAGGAGAGATCAAAACTGCCACCCCCTCTGGCCAATACGATAAATAGGATCTTAACTTGAACTTATCTTCACGAGGGACAAAGCCGCCATCCCCTCTGGCCAATACATTGAACTGGATCTTAACCTCAACTTTTCTCCAGGAGGGATCAAAACTGCCACCCCCTCTGGCCCATACATGGAATAGGATCTTAACTTCAACTTTTCTCCAGGAGGGATCAAAACTGCCACCCCCTCTGGCCAATACATTGAATAGGATCTTACCTTAAAATTATCTTCATGATGAATCAAAACTGCCACCCCCTCTGGCCAATACGGTGCATAGGATCTTAACTTGAACTTATCTTCATGAGGCATCAAAACTGCCATGGCCAATACATTGAATAGGATCTTAACGAAACTTAGTGAATAGGATCTTACCTTGAACCTATCTCCATGAGGGATCAAAACTGCCACCTCCTCTGGCCAATACGATAAATAGGATCTTAACTTGAACTTATCTTCATGAGGAACAAAACCGCCATCCCCTCTGGCCAATACATTGAATAGGATCTTAACCTCAACTTTTCTCCAGGAGGGATCAAAACTGCCACCCCCTCTGGCCCATACATTGAATAGGATCTTAACTTCAACTTTTCTCCAGGAGGGATCAAAACTGCCAACCCCTCTGGCCAACACATTGAATAGGATCTTACCTTGAAATTATCTTCATGACCTTCATGATGAATCAAAACTGCCACCCCCTCTGGCCAATACGGTGGCAGTTTTGATTCATCATGAGGATAAGTTCAAGGTAAGATCCTATTCAATGTATTGGCCTGAGGGGGTGGCAGTTTTGATCCCTCATGAAGATAATTTCAAGTTAAGATATGTTAAGATCCTATGCACCGTATTGGCCAGTTTTGATCCCTCATGAAGATAATTTCAAGGTAAGATCCTATTCAATGTATTGGCCAGAGGGGGTGGCAGTTTTGATCCCTCCTGGAGAAAAGTTGAAGTTAAGATCCTATTCAATGTATGGGCCAGAGGGGGTGGCAGTTTTGATCCCTCCTGGAGAAAAGTTGAAGTTAAGATCCTCTTCAATGTATTGGCCAGAGGGGATGGCGGTTTTGTCCCTCATGAAGATAAACAACAAAAGTTAAGATCCTATTTATCGTATTGGCCAGAGGAGGTGGCAGTTTTGATCCCTCATGAAGATAATTTCAAGGTAAGATCCTATTCAATGTATTGGCCAGAGGGGGTGGCAGTTTTGATCCCTCCTGGAGAAAAGTTGAAGTTAAGATCCTATTCAATGTATGGGCCAGAGGGGGTGGCAGTTTTGATCCCTCCTGGAGAAAAGTTGAAGTTAAGATCCTCTTCAATGTATTGGCCAGAGGGGATGGCGGTTTTGTCCCTCATGAAGATAAACAACAAAAGTTAAGATCCTATTTATCGTATTGGCCAAAGGGGGGTTAGTTTTGATCCCTCATGAAGATAGGTTCAAGGTAAGATCTTATTCAATAAGTTTCGTTAAGATCCTATTCAATGTATGGGCCAGAGGGGGGTGGCAGTTTTGATCCCTCATGAAGATCAGTTCAAGTTAAGATCCTATGCACCCCCTCTGGCCAATACGGTGCATAGGATCTTAACTTGAACTTATCTTCATGAGGTATCAAAACTGCCACCCCCTCTGGCCCATACATTGAATAGGATCTTAACTTCAACTTTTCTCCAGGAGGGATCCAAACTGCCACCCCCTCTGGCCCACACATTGAATAGGATCTTAACGAAACTGATTGAATAGGATCTTACCTTGAACCTATCTTCATGAGGGATCAAAACCGCCATCCCCTCTGGCCAATACGATGAATAGGGTCTTGACTTGAACTTAACTTCATGAGGGATCAAAACTGCCACCTCCTCTGGCCTATATAATGCGTTAGGGGTAAACCATGGTAAACCCTGCCCAAAGAGTGATCATCCGATACACTTACGTGGTACCGCCCTAATTGAATCATATACGTTACATGTTACTACGCTGCTGAGATATCCGGGATCGTTGCTACGTTGCTTGTTACTACGCTGCTGGGATCTCTGGGCTCGTTGCTACGTTACTTGTTACTACGCTGCTGATGGGGTAGGGTGGGGTAGGGGGGCATGTCAACGTTCCTTGAACTTCGTACGTTATAGTGTGCTACGCTGCAACGATCTGTGGGATCTAAAACTACGTTACATGTTACTACGCTGCTGGGATCTCTGGGACCTTGCTACGTTACTTGTTACTACGCTGCTGAGATCTCTGGGATCGTTGCTACGTACTTGTTACTACGGGTTTCCAGTTTCCAATTATATCAGTTTCCAAATACCAATCTCAGTTTCCGAATACCTTTTTCCAGTTTCCGAATACGACTCCCAGTTTCCGAATACCACTTTCCAGTTTCCGAATACCACTTCCAGTTTCCGAATACCACTTCCAGTTTCCGAATACCAGTTTCCGAATACCACTGTCCAGTTTCCGAATACCACTGTCCAGTTTCCGAATACCACTGTCCAGTTTCCGAATACCACTGTCCAGTTTCCGAATACCACTTCCAGTTTCCGAATACCAGTTTCCGAATACCACCTCCAGTTTCCGAATACCACTCGCCAGTTTCCGAATACCACCGTGACCGACAGCTCGAAATCGCATGATCGTCGAAAAACGCGCATCTCTAAATGCGTGCCCCGTTTCAAATCAGCGCGGTCGGACTGTATGTTTGTTGAAAATATGCATCATGTTCGACGGGTGTAGGTTGTAGATGGGTTGTGTGCCACAATATTCCGAGGTGGTTACATTTTCCCATGGAAGACCACACATCAAGGAAAATTGCAAGGCATGGGCAACAAGTATTTGCTTCGGAGCGCACAGAAAATAACCATGTAAAAACCATGTCTACCAACAGCGAACCCAATCCCACAGAGGACCCGCCAAAATCCAATCCACCAAACCATGCATCATACACAAGGCAAAATCGGACATGACATATGGAATATTTTCAGTTGGGGGTTCAATATTGATTTGATTTGTATTGGGAGCTGTAGACACATGGTGGTTGATTGCCATTTCAAATGTTGCCATCGAAGGAAACATTTTGTTCGATGTTATTGGTTTAAATTTTGATCAATCGGTAACAATGTTTGCATTTGTTTCTTGATGAATTTGTTGCTTGCAAATAATGCAATGTTTTGTTGTGGTTCAAAGACGCAAACATCTTAACTTGAAACAATGTTTGGATTGGAAATTGTTTGGTCGTGTCACTCACTGTCATTACATTTAAATAATATTGCAGACAATCATGTGTTTCATACAAACCGTAGTTTCGCAACAAGGTATACAGAGGCTCAACTCATCACCTCAACATCAAACAAAAACATTCGGCACTGCACGTTCGCGCCTTTATCCCCATGCGAGAGAAGGGCCTGGTTCTCAAAATTTCATTGTGCAAATGCGGCCAATGTCATTGCAAAATGTGGTTCGAAATCAAATCATCGTTTCATTATTTCATTCTTGAATGCCAAGGGACATCGCGCATCATCACAGTTTGTTGACAAAAGTCCTGACCTTGCCAATTGATTTGTTCTTGTGAATTTGTTGAGAGGGTGACGTATCCGCACGAGATTTCGTTCATGAAATGTATAGCAACCAGTGGTTGATCAACCTTGAATGATCTTGTATGTTCCCCACATCGAATCTTGCAACATTGTAAAACGTCGTATTGTTCTTGAGGCTGTGTCCTGCCCTCTACATGTCCAAAGGACAATCCACTTGCAGTTTCTTTACATGTATAAATGCAATACAAGGGTCAAACACCCAATGCATGGGAGGACAATGGGGCACTTTGCCCATGCGAGTTTTCAGCAACTTGGATCAACTAATGTCTAGCATTTGAGAAAAAAAAACCGTTTGCACTGACAAGGCAACCGCCAGCGCGACCAGGGTCGGCCACCCAATCTGTGGTGCATATTTTGGATTTTGTGAGTTCCCTTCAAACCTTCAAAATCAGGCTTGCGCATTGGCGAGGGCCAAAAGCACAAGATCCCGCTCCTCGCTAGCAATGATGTGTGGCTAGCAATTGGCCGGGTGCGGGTGCATTTCATTCTGAGGCAGCTGCCTGGAACGAGCATGTGGAATTGGCAGATGAGGCCTTGATTTTTAGAGTGTCAGGTTGTGTTTCCTGCAATCCAAGACCTCTTCAGACTCTTATTAGATTTGCGTTAGTGTGCCATGAAGATGTTCAAAGTCCGATGTAGGCGTTTGGCTGGAAACAGGTGTTTTTGCCGAGGATCAATTCATTCCCGAAACCAGCAAAACAATTCGTTTGAAGTCCTGAGACCAACACATGAACTACTTTTGAAGGTATTTTTCAATTTCATCTCATCTTTATGAGTTTTTTGAAAACTTAAACTAGTATCCAATACCAGTATAAACTAGGGATGTGGGTCGAGGAGTGGTTGTCCTGATTGTGCTTTGCTTCGTCAACACTAACGTTTTGTTGTAGCCCATTCCAGCATGCACTGAACCCAGACTGCGTTTAGAGACACAGTTTGACGCCAAAGAACTAAATGGGTTGAACCGACCTAGTAAAGCAACTGTATCTTGAATAGAGTGAGCGAACCAAATCCTTGTGTCTGCAAACAAACAAGGGAAAAACATTTCAAACGTATCATCATTTTTCAAGACAAAAACCAGTGTTAAATTTATCCCTTTGCACATGTTTTGTTTGATTGCATTATATAATCATTGCCAAAAAAAAACGCAAAACGTTCCAATACCGGGTGTATAGATATGTCTGTCCAGTAAACATATCAAATCTGCGAATTCATGGTTTTTAAATTTGAAGTGATCCTGAGACAAAACTTAATCCATTTTGTGCGAGGTGATCGTGCCAGTGACTGAATGCTAGTCTGTAGGGATCATTTTTTTGCCATGTAGCACCTGCAGCTGGGAAGGTTAGAAAGTGCCGAAGACCAGAGAAGGGTGATCCGACGTGCAATGCTCGGTGAAATCATTTTTATTGTGGCCAATAGGTTTCTGTATCCAAAGCTGCACCAAAATCCCGTCGCAGGTTTGGGCTCCTTGTCCTCGCGGTTTTAGCTGCGATTTTGTGCCAGTTGCCTCAGAAACAGATTGCGCCAGGCCAGCAGGTCACGTCACATTTTCCGCCCGCAGCCGCAACCAGGTTTCTTGATCCCGGGCGAAAGACTCGAGGGTCAGGAATTGCCACAACGAATTACCAGCGAGGCCAGTACACAATATTGCGATTTTGTGATTTGTAGAGAGTGTCCTGGTGCAACTTTTGGAGGCTATCAAGTCGGACTTGCAGACAGCCCTGCCTGTTCCTGCAACTTGGTCCAGTCTATAGTTTGGTCATGGCCCAAGGGCCCAAAATTGGGTGCTCAAACCGAGGCACTTCGAGGCTGTTGTGGTGAGCCCATGGAGTCTCGCTCTGAGAGCATTGCGGGTGTGTCAGTCGATGAAGATTAGCCAATGGATGGAATGGGGTACCGGGTACCCCTATTTTCAAACAAACCGATGTGGGAGAAACTTGTCTGAAGATGCTTGGAAACCCTGAAAATCCATGTGGTTTATCATCGGTTTTCCGATCAAGATTGCATCTTTGGGGTTGGAGTATACCACTTCTTTTTGGGCTGAACCCATGGTGCACTCCATACTTTTTATTTTTGACTAGATCTTTTGCTGCCACGACCAGGGAAATATAAGCTCTGCATGTGGCACAGGATGTACAAACTTGATGCCAAATGACTGCAAGGTTTCGCTGGCTATTTTTAGGAAGCTCGGAGAAGGCGTGTATATTGTTATTTATTGTTTTTTTTTTTTCTAACAAAAAAACAAACTGGAAAGATTTGGGGTGTCAATTCAGAGATTTCAAGTGAAGTTCCACTGCTGCACGACCCATTCGCAGGGCCAACCAATCGAATCTCGCAGGCCGTGGCTGGCCAACCATTTCGCACAGTCCTGGTGGCTCGTGATTCCAAAGGCCGCCAGGCAGAACTTCCCTGCGCCCTGCCGTGCAGTGCCCTGCCAGTGCACACCGGGTTTGGTGTTGCACTTTACAGGCAAGACCTGCAGCCTGTGATGCGTTACGAGCAGCTTCCTCAGTATTTCAATGTACCCTCTGGTAATTTAACATAACTATGGAAAATCACCATGCTATTAATGGGTAAATCCACTATTTCAATGGGCATTTTCAATAGCAAACTGTTGACATAACCAGAGGGTATTTCAAACATTTTCAAGCAGCTTAGCGCTTCACCAGCTAGTGATGGTGATTTTCCTGGTGGAAGTTGCTGGAACGAGGTTGGAGTTGACCTCTCGGGCAAAGCTCACTTATCTGGAGCCGTCGTCTTAGCACTGTGAACCGGGTGCCGCAAGGTGTGAACATCTGTGGGTACCACCAATTCCAATGGATTTGATGCTTGGGGGATTAAAATGGCTGAAATACTGGGGATATCGACTATTTTCATCGATTTTTTTGATCAAACCTAGATGTCGGTTTGGAACCTCCAAACCTTTGTTACCCACGAATTTCGGAGGCCTTTTTGCCGTTGTCTTGGCGCCTGGGGCAGCTGGAGTTTCACATCGAGAATGAGCTCGCAGAGGAGAAGTCCTGTGAGCACGAAGTTGGTTTGTCAATTTTGTAATCACAATGAACTAGAGTTACTAGTGAGTTACCATATGTTACTACAATAGTATAGGATAGTTGTACTATGTTATACTATAGTTATAATATGTTATAATTAGTTAAAAGTTATAATGACTCATAGGCCCAACATGGCCCAACAGTCATCCTGGTGAGAAAACTCTTGGATTTTGCGGCTCGGACCGTCGGAGAGGTTGTTGAGGCAGAAGTTCGCATTGAAAGTCCGGATCCTGAGGCGACGGATCTTGGGGTTTCCATAGCCATGGAGCTACCCTCATGGCTACATCGTTGATATATGTTGATTAATATACTTTATGTTACTAATGGTTAATTAAATGGTTAATACTTAAGGTTAATACTTGGTGATAATATGGGGTTTCCATAAATGGGAAATCCCCAATAGCTGGATGGTTTATTTCATGAAAAATCCGAAGATAAAATGGATCGCTGGGGGTACCCCCATGGATTGGAAACCTCCAGATGGTCTGAAAATGTATGATATAGTGACAAAAGATGAAAACTGGTGGGAACTCGTGATTTTTTTCACTGGGTCTTTCTTTGAAGTCTCCAACCAAACTCCACAGTTGGAGCTGCCCTGGCCTCTGTGCAGGCAGATGTCTTGCTACACACCTCCCAGCTCCTTGGCTTGCGCAGAGACATTTCCCATGAGTGTTGATGGTCAAGATTCCAGCGCCCAAAATTGGATGTTTTGTGTCTCAGTCTCACCCCGCTGGCGAGCACACCTGGCACAGGATTCATTTTACATCTGGACCTTTGCACAGCTTTGCGATTCGGCTTGAATTGCTGCTTGAATGCATTAGTTCGACCATGTTCGACCCAGTTTCGCATGTTTCACGTTCATTTGTTTCACTTTCAACCTGCGGCCAAGGGCAGATCAGTCCGCTACTTCTCCTGCCACTAGAGGCAATCACAGAAGTTGCGCACCGCTTTGCTGTTTTGCTGGATTAAACTTTGATGTCAGTCCAGCATTGGAAGCAGCAAACGGGTGAGAAACATAGTTGAGCCGAGTGCTGATGTCTTGAGGTTCTTGGCCCCTAAGACAGGAAGTGTGCGTGACGGTGATGACAAAGGCCAAATTTGTTGACGGTGGTTTAACCGGTTTAGCTGTGTGTTCTGTGTGTTCTCAACAGCTTGGCCCATGCTATTTCATTGCCAGGACCAATTTGGAAATCCAACGCCATTGAACAGCTCTGGAGGTCCTGGCCTCAGTCCAGTCCATGGCGCAGTCGACGTGGATGCGCGGCTGCGGTTGGTGCTGCTGACGTCTGTCGCAGGCTTCATTTTGCGGACTTCGGCGCAGAGGAACACTCTTGAGATGAGGCCATCGTGCCAACGTAGTCATGGAATGTCATGGGTCTGCTGAAATCCCATGTCAAATGGCTTGGGTTGGCTAATATGGATGGGGATACTACTGGTACCGCCGTACCGCGTTCTTGGAGGAGGAATTTTGAGAAGAAACTGGTGTGAAGGTTTCAAGATATCTGATCTTTTTCTTTTTCTGTATGCTGAAGACGGTGTGTTGCACATGACATCACTTTGTGATTCCAAGCTCACTTGATCCTAGGCCCTTATGGCATATTTTCATTGAGCATAAGCGGCATGACTGTGGAGAAGTGCTGTCAAAGGCCAACGAGTGGAATCCTGGACATGTCCTCCACTGGCGAGGCAGGGCAGGTAGACCGACCATGGCTGGTGGCTGCGCTTTTGGATCATGGATCAATTCATATTTTTTGCTGCATTTTTCTATTTTTTCTTTGCTGTTTTGTTTTTTTGTTGTTTGATTGAATTTGATCGTCAGTCTCTTGTTGAGGCCCAAGTGTTTCTTACGGCGCTTCGACCTGGTCCGGTGGAGATTTGGGTTGAGGCCGCCGAGGCCCGCAGCTCGTCAGACTCGTCGCTCCGTGTTGCTCCCGGTCGCTCCAGGCACGTAGCTCGAGTCAGTCGCAGTGCCTTGACTCGCAATTGCGAGTTGGAAGATGTGTATTTTTCTCCAAAAGGGGGGATGATTCCAGTTAGACAATCCCATGTTCATCGTGTTGGCAGATGTTGGAAGAAGAATCATAAACTGCAGATCTTTGTAAACGTTTGTAAAACCACAGATGGAGCTGTAAGAGTGTCTCAGATTTGACGACGTTGGCAAAGGAACCAACTCAGAAATTCCACTTTGCGGTCTCTGTCCTTCACTGACCCAGAGAGTCTTGGTCCTTAGCCTCAGAATACTGTCAGACTCACCTCTTTGCTTCGATGATTTGGATGCTCTGGACAGTACTGGTTGCCGGAAGACGTTCATCCAGTCTTGAACCCCACTGGTTGCTGGAAAGGTGAAGCTCATGGCAGCCCATCCAGCTTTCTGGCAGCTGTAAGGCACACATCAATGAGTTCATCTTCAATCCTCTGAACATTTTGCATCTTCGGCAGGTCAAAAGCTACCACACAAGACATCCAATGGCAAGGGAAAGCCGATGAGGCTGACCAGCGTAGATGTAGATTCACTTTAGCCTTGTCACCTGTTGACTTGAATTCTAGGATCCATTCATATTCCATCTACTTGTGCGAGATGCACCACAGATTGCCCAAAGTAAACTATTCAAAGATTCTGTGCCGTCCAAGCCACAGGTGCGGGATGCATTTCTCCATGCCTGGCGAGGTTACGAGAGGCCTTTGCAGCACCTTCCGGCAATTCAATCCAAGTTGGTAGTGGAACATCCCAGATGTTTGTCAATTGATAGGTGATTTTAAAAGATTTCTTAGATTCTTTTCAGCTCCAGCAGGGATTTCCCATAGGGCCGATGTTTTCTGTTCGAATCTGCAAGGCACGCCTGGGGCAGTGACGAATTGCAGCCCATTTCCCGGCGCCCGACTTGGTATTTTTGGCCCCTGTGGCTGGAGCCGTTGTTTCAACAAGTCCTGGAATGGCTCAGGGTTGGGAGAAATAGCTTTGGCGGACTTGGTCTCACCATTCTCGTGCTGCACTTGGCTACTAACAAAGGGATATTTATTAGTAGGGATGAGGTGTCTAGCTTGTGATTCTCTGTTTCGCGTTGAGGACTCCTTGTCAACATTGTGGCTAATGGGCCTTGATCGTGAGTTTGAGAAGGCCTGGTTGCTGCGTTTGCACTGAATAGAATGGGATGCAAAGAACCAGGCAATTGCTTTGTTGTCGATCGATTGACAGGGAGTCAAGTTCGTCAAGGATGACTTGGACTTTGACAATGCAGATTCGGACGTGTCAGTGTTCGAGCTAACGATTCGTGGGTTTGCCCCTGAGAGAGTGATCCAATTTCTGAAAGGAACCTGGGAAGAGACAAATTACATCGGTGATCCAATTTCTGAAAGGAACCTGGGAAGAGACAAATTACATCAGGCTTTGAACATGCTGGTTGGGCAAAAAGTCCACCCTGCCAGTAGGTTCCCACTCAAATTTGATTTGAGTGGTTGACGCAAGAATGAGGCTTGGTGGCTTGCTAGGTGCCCACACGTTGTCCAACAAAAAGGCCTTTGGCATAGGTTTTGTCCACCTTCAGAGTGGTTAACTTCAAAAGCTGCTCAGCGTGTGATTGGTTTGTGCAAATCTGACAACTGCAACATTCTGCAACGTCGTGCCATCAGATCTTACTGGAGCGTGCGCAAGAGCTGGGAAACCGCTTGCTGCCTGCATTTCAAACACCCTCCAGGCACCTGCTTCCAGATCTTATTTAGTGTGGTGTACAGAGTATAGCGGCTGTATCTCAATCCAAGCAGTGTTTCATTCCAAACTTTCCGAACAGATAATTTCATTCGCTCTATGCCCCAATTTTGAGCCAATTCTGCATCGAAAAAATTGCCGGAAGATAGGCTTCATCTCTCAGGATTCCCTGGCCAACAGTGAACCTCGCACGCGGAACTAGCAAGAAGAGCACCCAGCCAGTGATACTGTCCGAGGCAGGCATAGTCAAATAGTCAAAGTCAATTTTGACTGGATGTATAAATGTGATTAAATGTGAAGATTCTTCGTCTTGTTTTGTTTCACTCAATTTGGATCACAAATTTCGCATGAAGATTTCCGAGGTTCGGACAAGTTTAGCGTCAAAACTTGGTCGTTCCTGACGTTCCTTGGTGTTGGGCATCGTTCCAGGCCGGAAGTCTTCAGGTTGAATTTCGCAGCCTGACAGCCAGGCCAGGCACATTCAACATCATTCAACACTGATTGAGCGGTTTAACCGGTGGAAAACTTATATAGTCACCGAGTCACCGGGATGAGAAATGATGAAAAACAAGATTTCAGATTATTGAAACACGTTGAAGCTTGGCAGGACTGGAGACACACGTTTCCAAAAAGCAGCTGACAAAGCTTTTCAGGTGCGGCGAGAATTTCCAAAAGCATACGAGAGCAACTCTTGAAATCACATATTGAACCTTTATATGAGATTGTTGGCGATAGCTGAGATAACTAGGATATTTTAACTCAGCACTGATTGGGACATTTTACATCCCTGTTCAACTACACGCCCATGTGTTGCCTTTCCACTCCCTTTCCGTTTCGCTTGAAGGCAGTCCAGTCTGTTGGGATTCGCGGCATCTTGCCGGTGTTTTTATCACCTCCAGGAATGCGAAAAGTCCAGGCGCAAAAACTTATGGTATCTCATGGTATCTTCTGGTTTTGAAGGAAATCTGTGATTTTTTGAAGGTCCGCTGGGCCTTAGTACTGTGTCTCTGGAGGCGGTCGCATCAAAATTTGCCTTTGGGGCCCTTGCAGACTCGTACTACGAGTGCTCCTTCGGAAGAGTTGTTGGACTTGGTGGACTTGGTCAGGTTTAGCTATGGTACTATGGTGGTGGTATACCCTGGATGTTTGCAAAAAAATATAAAAAATTGCAAAGGTATCTTTTGAAGCAATGGCTTCAGCAGCCTTCAGACAAGAACTTCAAGGCGGCGCTTGAGGGGAAAATCTGCAGGAACCGGATGGAACCGGTAAAAATTAGGCTTTCCCCATAGGTTTTCTGGAGATTTTCAACATTTCTCAACCAATCCCATTGATTTCTGGGCTGATTTTTGTCGGGCCCCTGGGCCCCTGGAGCTGCCTTTCCAGGAGCTGTTTCTGGAGGTGATGGACTCCTTGCCGACCATACGACCGTCGCCCAGTTCAGTACCTCGACGGAAAATGGGGGATAACGGGATAAATCTTGATATATACCGACCCATATATATCCAATATATACCCATATATATCCATACATATCCAAAATGGGGGATAATTTTCAACATATAATTACTTTCTTAATGTAGAAAATGAACAGTGAAGTAATGGTGAGTCACCAGTGAAAGTAAATGGCACCAGCTTTTTCAGACAGACACATTAGCCATTGAGTCGCCAGGGAGTCGATGTCTGAGGTGAAAGATGCTGAACAGAGGGTTTCACACTCAGCCAGATGGCACACAGAGAGGTCCCTGATAGGCCTGATAGGTTATTGAGGGTTATTGTAGATGTCCTGGTTGGTGACCTGCTACTAAGGGCACAGTGGTGCACTACAAGCTCATTGAAGTCTTGTCTGATGGCTCTGTAGACTGGAAGATGGACTGCTGATTTGGATGTTTCAGTTGCAAATGTGGTGTGGAACGAGTGACCTCATTTGTTCTCAAATTTCCAGGATCATCTCAGTTGCTTTACTCCTGGATTGATCGCGCTTGGGTAGGGCACCTGACAAAGAAATTGCTGCCTCAATTTTCATGTGCCAAATGTTGGCTCAACAGACGCAGCTGGGGGTAAGGCTCATGGAGGTCCCCCAGCATGACTTGGTCAAGAAGGATCGCAATGCCACGTGCTGCCGACCTGTTGACGTGTGATGTCCAGCCTTGATCTGCCCTGCTGCTGATGCTCAGCTTTCCGTGGACAGGTGGTGGAGGCTCGCTGAAGGCATCACCGCGTCGTGTTTCGAGCTGTGGGCTTCAACTTCCACGGGTCTCGCCCCGGAGTTCAGCAAGGCACCTGTGATATTTTGGGCACGATGCAGCTGGTGATGTCACTGTGTCACCGGTGTCTCAGCGTCGCAGGTGAGTTCAAAAGCTCCTCACAAATTTGTTGAGGCAGGGGCTTTTGCAGACGGTTCGCACTGTTCTTTTCAGATCAGTCAGGCTGGATCTGATGGCAGACACTCGTTTCTCCGACCTGAAACGGCCCTGTGCCCAGACACATTTTAAATACCCTCCAGTAAATTGACATAGACCCTGGTAGATAGGGGTTGGAAGATTAGTTTCCTCTAAAAAATGGTGATTTTCAGGGTCTATGTTAATTTACCAGAGGGTACATCCTACTGTAATCAGCGCGGTTCTTCAGTACTTCAGGCAGAGTCATTGTTCTACCTTTACCGACTGACTGGCGATGAGAAGTGCGCCCACATTGCACAGTTGGAAGGGAACATATGTTTTTTCATGTTTTTTCTATGGTGGAGAGTAATCAAGTAATCTTGGCAATCGAAAACAATTTTGCCCGGAACGGGCGTGCAATAGTAGAACTTATATTATTAAATACAACTAATGTGGTTGCCTCACAAACTCCAATTTGGTTGCAATCCTGCAACGTTTTCACTAAAATTATTTCAAGGTTCAGATGGCACATTGATCGGTATCCACGACGCCTTACCTGAAGGGCCTAACGATGACAAGCTGCAATGCGACTTAATGACGCTGACAGTCATCACAATATGCATTTGGTTATCGCATTACATCTTGCATCATCCTGTATCCCAGAATGAGAGTGTGCCGACTAGTCTTTCCATGTCTTTCCATACTTGAGATGATGATTTGTTCCTCTCCAGGTATCGCCACTGGGGTAGCAAGCTTTTCCAAGCGATCCTTGACCATGCAAAGGCAGCGTTTCACATTGGTTTCACATTGGTTTCACTGGGATCATCCAAAGGGAGCCAGCCTGATCATGGATGCGCAGGTGCCGCACGGCTTCTCATCTGTCCGTGATGTGAAGGCGGAAGCTGCACAGGTTTCCACAGTTGGATCGTCTGAGGGGAACATCACAAAAATATGACTTGGAATCGGGTGTCTTGGGATGTTCTTTTACCAGATTTTTTGTTCCCCAGATAGCCAAGCTATTGGGGTTCTTACTTCATGGGGTTCTTACTTCAAATATAAGAAGAGTTGCATGTTTGCGTTTTGGAGTTTGGTTGCTCGTGCCGCTGCATGCCGCTGCAAGATGCCGCTGTTAGAGTGCTGTTTGCGCTTTGGAGCTGCAGGGCGCCGCTGCCCATGAATACCTTTTGCTATCTGGGGCCTATGCTGGCGTTATTTTGTTTGGGTCTGTGGGTGTTTGGGGTTTGACCCATCCCCATTTCAATATTGCGATGTCTTTCGTGGCAATGCTTACGGTGGTTGATGGTTGGAGGCAGTGCTTCACGGACACATCTTACTGTCAAATTAATGAAACAAGACACTGGCAGATTGTCTTTGTGACTTTGATTTGTGGGCTTATCCATCGCTGGCCAGCCTGACATCAAATTCAGGTGCAAATTTGGTGTTTTTTCGCCACTATTTTGAAGATTTCTCAGGCCATTCCGACGTCGAAGATGGACGAGATGCAGACCTTTGTGATGGCGGCATGGGTCCCAGCATGTCCCAGCGGTCTCGGTAATTCATGGTAATTCATTGCCTTTGGGGAGCTGCAGGAGACTTTCAAGTATCTTTTCCTCCTGTTTTCGCCAGCCGCCACTTGGATGCAACTGGGAAGCTGCAGAGGGGGTGCATTGGCTGTGGTTGGGCTCGGGGTGGCCAAAACCGAAACCTGATTCACACATATTTTGGGATATGCAGAGCATCCCTACGGTATTCATGGGGGATGACCACAACACTATTGACAATATTTAGGGACGGTGGAGTCAACTGTCCTGCTTTCCTAGTCTGAAGACTCATCAGAGTCATGCGTGAGTGTCGGCACTAAGGCAGCTTTCGACATGAATCACTTCTTCCTAAACACTGAGGGCCATCCGCTGAAGCGACATGAGCTCTAATGTGATTTCTAGAGGCAGTGCTGAATACAAGTCAAGTCAAATTGACAAAGCTGAATCTACGCTTTACAGTCTTTGACGTGACTCCCTAGCAAGTAGATTTAGCACATGCTGTTCGTGGATTAAAAAAAGCGTGGCACCTCAACTTCATGCAATTTCATATGCAACATTGAAGGGCATTTCAGGGTGTGCAAAATGCGTGGGATTCTGTATGTGGCTGTCATATTTTCCGAACCTCCAGATCAGCTTTCTCAACTTGACACTCAGAGCAGATCCCAGCGTCTTACACGCACTTGAATCATTAGAAGTGTGTTTGAAGCTTTGTAGGACTTTGCATGAGTTTCCCTTGTTGCAAAGAAAAATAGAGACAGATGGAGCCTTTACTCATTTTCTCTGTATCCCATTTCGGTCCACCCTCACTTTCCTGCATTGTGGTGCGCTTCTTCCAGAAATCATCACCACGCAGCGCTTCTTCCACCCACTTCTGCCATGGTCAACGGCTCAGAGAAATATATCACGACATCTGAAAGGCAGATGATATTTGTCCCAAAAGCACTTTTCCAATATGATGCTCGTGGGGCGATCCCTGATGCGGAGAGTTTGTCACCAAGGCGGAAATCGCAATGGATTCAGCATCGCCGGCTTTGCTTCAACCGAAAGACTCGTTGTGCATTTGAAAAGGATGACAAAGACTAACACATGGATGAAAAATCAGGGCTTGGATTTCATTTTCCATGCAATGGGCTACATTCATTCTTGACGAAGATCCATTGGGATTCGGCTACCTTCAATGCAGAGTTCATGAATTTACCGAATGCGCCACCCCGTTTGAATGGCATGTGAAGTCGGGTGTGAATGAAACCTTCCTCTTGCCAGGATGATGACAACCTCTCCGAGTGTCCTACTTAGTTTGAAGTCATCGAACATCCAGTGGCATCATCATTTTCTCATTTTCTCTATTGAAATTGTTATTTGGGGATATCCAATTTTCAGGCAAAACCGCACTGAACAAGGCACTCGGCCATCTCCAATCCTTCCGACTTTGCAGAAGATGAGGAGGCCCGACCACCCGACAACCCGACAACCTGTGCCTTCTTGTGAGCTTCACACGACTTTGCTCGCCGCAGGTGGACTACCTTGCACTGGAGCTTCTACATCATTTACCTGCAGAGAAGGTGCTTCCAAAATATTGGAAGACCGGGACATAGGACTAATGGGACCGCGCATTTTCTTTCGCTGCATTTCCTTTTTCTTCTTATTACTATGTACTGTATATATATATATATGTATGTACTGTATGTAATGTAATGTAATGTAATGTAATGTAATGTAATGTAATGTAATGTAATGTAATGTAATGTAATGTAATGTAATGTAATGTAATGTAATGTAATGTAATGTAATGTAATGTAATGTAATGTAATGTAATGTAATGTATGTATATATTATGATTATTCAATTCTTTGCTTGGAAAATGAAGGCCGACAAACTGATGAAGAGTCTGCGAGCCAAAGAGAAGGCTGTACAGGAGCGACACACAGTGACCCACAGTGACCCGCACTGACAGAAGAGTTCAGCTTCTGTGAAGATGTCCTGGTTTGTGTCTCTGCCCGCTTCACATCTTGAGTCTGATGTTGTCCAATTTTTGCAAATCTGCAGCTATCTCGGCTTCAAGCTGTCACGCCAATTCGTGCCTTGTCAGAGTTCTTGTTTGGCAAAAGTAGCTCAGCTGCATTTTCTGCTTACTGTTGCAAGATGGTGCAAGTATAGCAGCTTCAGCCGTGCAAAGTAAACAGATGTCGAAGAAGATTTGGAATGCAACCTTTCAAGATGGAAATGTGATAGGATCTAAAATATTGTAACTACGTGGTATAGAGCCCACAATGGGTATACAGACCAGCAGCACCACGGATACCCGGTTGACTAAGGATGGGTTGCAAATCTTCCAAGGCTGCTGCCAAGCCTGCAGAGGCCGTATCCCAGAAACATGAATGAAGTCTCCATGACAAACTGCGACATACTTTAGGCCAAGAAAGAGGAGCCGAAAGTTGAACCAAAGAAAGAAGAACCGAAGGTGACATGATTCTGCCAGCCGCGGCTGGTTTTCGTGTTATTTCTCCCTCCCCTCTGTTTTTTCCCCAACAGCGCAAGCTAATGGGGTCTTCAGCCCAGAATAGCTCCGGTGTGCATTGGAGGTTCCGAAGGTTCCGGTCAAGGTCTGGGAGGCTTTGGTGCAAAGCCAGTTCAGGTTCAACAGGGTTCCGGAGAAGGTTCCGGAGAAGGTCTGGGAGGCTTTGGTGCAGAGCCAGGTCAGGTTCAACAGGGTTCCGGAGAAGGTTCCGGAGAAGGTTCCGGAGAAGGTTCCGGAGAAGGTTCCGGAGAAGGTCTGGGAGGCTTTGGTGCAGAGCCAGGTCAGGTTCAACAGGGTTCTGGAGAAGGTTCCGGTGCAGGTGTGAGAGGCTTTGGTGCAGAGCCAGGTCAGTTCAACAGGGTTCCGGTGAAGGTCCAAGAGGCTTTGGTGCAGAGCCAGGTCAGCTTCAACAGGGTTCCGGTTCCGGGAGGCTTTGGTGGAAAACCAGGTCAGGTTCAACAGGGTTCCGAAGAAGGTTCCGGCGAAGGTCTGGGAGGTTTTGACGCAGAGCCACGTCAGGTGCAACAGGGTTCCGGAGAAGGTTCTGGAGAAGGTCTGGGAGGCTTTTCTGGAGAAGGTTCCGGAGAAGGTTCCGGGAGGCTTTGGTGCAGAGCCAGGTCAGGTTCAACAGGGTTCCGGAGAAGGTTCTGGAGAAGGTCTGGGAGGCTTTGGTGTAGAGCCAGGTCAGGTTCAACAGGTGTTTCCAGCGCTTGGCTTCGCAGCACGCTTCAGAAAGATTTGTAAACATTAATCGTTGCGGCTGTTGGGGATACCACTGAATCTTATTTTTGAATGACTGGAGCCCGGAGCAGCTTCAGCCAGGGGTTGTTGTGATGCTGGTGCCACCAGCAAGTAGCCACAATCTCGGGGGATTAGAGAGGATGAGACGGCCATGACTTGATAACTTGAATATGTAGGTTGTGATAGTGGCAGGAGGTGCAGTAAAGGTAGGGATACATTGCTACCAGTCTTCGCCGTCCTTTTCCAAGATGTTAAGTTTCTCTTGGAAAATCTCCATTTATAGATAATGTTCACATTAAAATCATGAAAACCTCCATGGGACATCTCCCCCTGATGCTGCTTTGGCTGATTTTTTGTGTGGTCGAAGAAAAGAAGTCAGAACCAGCCAAGGAGACGACAGAAACTGTTTGAATCCATCAATTTCATTCAATTTCCATATTCAGTTCATGTAGCCACACGGTTTCAGCAGTGGCATGTGTCTTTGGTGAGTCAGAACTATCTCATGACACATGAACCTATCAGAACCCTATCAGAAAGGTAGATAAATATGATACATGTCTCATTGTCCGTCCTATGAAGATTATGCCTAAAGATGGTTGTTGACAGTGATTGCCTGAGTTTCCAGTTGTGGCTTGGGTGACGTCCCTGGGGCACAGCTCGGGCGTCGCGCAGGTGGAGACAAAGGACGAGACGACGGTGGGTGACGTCGTTGACGTCAAGAAAGGAATGACGGCCTGGAGCTCAGGGAGCGACTGGACCCGTTTGCTGCGTGTTGAAAACACTTGTTCTATTACCGCCCTTTATATAATATAAGCCCTTATATATACATACAAATAATATATATATATAATTATGTACATAATTGTACATATACATATAGAATGGGCTAACATCCGGGTGCCGCCGACCCCCTGATACGGGGGTTGGGTCTGGCAGGAACAGTCATTTGGCAAAGGTACATGCCAGCTCTTAGCCCTTGTAACCCCGAGGGATGAGAAACTAATTCATTCCTAGCTGCGCAAGTTGGGAAGATGCGGGCGATACAAATGACATGAAGTTCTATATGATATAATAGAACATATAATAGATTTACAAGTATGTACATATATGTATACATATATATATATGTATACATATATATATATATATACAATATATATATATACAATATATATATATATACAATATATATATATACAATATATATATATACAATATATATATATACAATATATATATATACAATATATATATATGCGTATCCATGGATACATGCATGTGGTATGCATCACTGAATGGCAAGCTGCAGCCTATATCAAGGCCAGACGGGCTGTCGCGGAGGGTTTGGAGGGTTTGGTGGGCCAAGGGCGGGGTGTGTCCGGCAGTTTCGGAGCGGTACAATAGAGGTGTTGCCGCGGAGCGTTTGCAGGGATGGCAAGCTGCAGCCTATACCTAGGGAATCCTTTTTGCGAACTTCTGCCGAAATTACATTTCAGCACTGGAATCGCCGAATTCTAAAATTTCTGCCGCAAACAAAAAAAATGCCAACAATTTTTAATCCTGCCGTAATAGGGTTTTCATGGGCTGTGCTTATTTGTAACCAAAGCTGAGTCCGGGTAATTCCGCCGAAATTGCGGGCAATTCCGCCGAAATCTGCCGACATTCTTTATGACTCTATTGGGGCGGCAAGCATTCAACAATCAATTCCGCAGAAATTGGTCTCCAATGATGGAATTCCGCCGAAAGCTGTTTTAAAGAGCGAAATCTGAAAATTCTCCCGAAATCCGATTTAGCGCAAAAATTTCCATACATTGGAGTTCTCAGGTATATAAAGCCATACGCGCTGCTGCGGAGGGTTTGGAGGGTTCGGTGGGGCCAGGGCGGGGTGTGTCCGGCACTTTCGGAGCGGTGTGTCGGGCAGTTTCGGAGCGGTACAATAGAGGTGGTGCCGCGGAGCGGTTGCAGGGATAGGAAGCGGAATGCTATGGCAATGGAAGCAGTCAGGGCATAGATCGGGAAAAAGCCAAGGTCCACACCAAAGGTGGTTCCAGGCGCCGCCCCGGCCATGGCTAGGGCCGGGGTCGGCGGATACATATACATATACATATACACATATGTGTATATATATATACACACTGTATATATTGTCCTACACCATTTTTGGATCATTTTCGATTGAATCCATGGGTTTTTCACATCTATGCTGACTTGTTGGAGGGTAAACAGCCCCAATATATCCCATATTATTATATGTATCCACAGTATCCCTAAAACATATTATCTACAAATTCCAATGTTCCGTTATGTTTTATTTTATTTTATTGCATTGTATTATATTGCAGTATATCATTTTTTCGTAATATGGTATATGGTATCATATTTAGATATTTTTTATTGAAATGAAATGTATATATGCATATTTAAATATAAAATCATACCATATCATATTTATATTCCATTATATTATGTATACTATCTATTATATGAAATTATGTATACTATAGGTATATATTATATATATATATATTTGTAATATTTTATCATATTGTATTATTTAACTTATTATATATTAGGTTCAATATTCTATTCTTTTATATTATGTAATATTATATTATATTATGTTATTTTATGTTTTATTATGTTGTATTATATTACTATATTACCATATTTTTTTTTTTAAATTAAATTGTTATTACAAGATATTATTGTACTGTATAATAATATAACTATACTACTATATTATTATATTATTGTATTTTTTTTTACGTTATTATATTATTATTACAATTTACATATATATTATTATATCAGTTTATTTTTGGATCATTATATTATTAGATCATCATATTATGGTATTATAATATTATTATGGTACTATATTTTGATAATACATTATTATATTTTTTATAATATATTGTTATTTTGTTAAAAACATTTTTCAGTATATTATTTTATTTTATATTATATCCTTTTATTTTTATATTATATTAATATATTAATATATTATTATTATTATTATATTATTATGTTATTATGTTATTATGTTATTATGTTATTATATTATTATATTATTATATTATTATATTAATATTATTATATTGTTTTATTATTACTATATTTTAATTTTATTATATTACTATGATATTATATTATTATATTACTATATTTTATATTATTATATTACTATATTATTTTATTATTAATATTATTATATCATTATATTATTATATTATTTTATTGTTAATATTATTATATTATTATATTATTATATTATTATATCATGATATTTTTATATCATTTTATTATTGTATCATTATATCATGGTATTATTATATTATATTATTTTATATTATATTATATTATAATATAATATATTATATTATAATATTATATTTTTTATTTTATTTTATATTATATTATATTATAATATATTATATTATATTATATTATTATTCTTATTGTGACTTTATTATATTATTACGTTGTATTTATTTCATTATATTACTTTTTATTTTTCCCGTATCCCATATCCCATATCCCACATATATCTGAGGATAAACAGTCCCAGTTTTTTTTCTCCGATCGCATCGCTCCACCAGGTCACCAACATGCGCAGGCAGCAGAGCGGGCACGTCCTGCAGCACACTGCGACCGATGTCTTGGTGAAGCTTGGCGCTTTCGCAGAGTCTTTGGGGTACCGAGATGCGGCAGAAACATGTAACCAATTGGTAAAATATGGTAATCAAGTGGTAAAATATGGTAAAATGATAGAATCATGGAAGGTCCCACAAACTCTCACGAATTCATACAAGACGTTGGCCAAGATCTGTTGGTGTTAAGAGCATGGGCCATAGCCTGGTGCAGGATTCCTTGCAACAAATCATGATGTGATACTGAGGAAATATGACGATGGCAAGACTGAGTGGACCGAGATCGAGGACCTGCAAAAGATGGTGGCTCCTTGGCTACCAATTCCACATTTCTTACGAAGAAAACGTATGTTCTTCAGCAAGGAAGATTTTGGGAAACTGATTTCTATCTATTTGGCGATTTTTTTTCAGTCTTTCGAAGTAGAATGTTGTTATTGGAATTTCACACCCCTTCCTCAAGTTGGCCGTCAGGTTGACGCAGTGAAGGAGAAGGCATGACGCAGCTTGATGCATCAGCGCCACTTTTATTCGGTGTGATGCCTTTACGGTTCCTGGCTGTTGCTGGCAGGATAAATTGCCAGAAGTCACCTTTGAGGGTGCAGGTGACAACAAGGGATTGTGCTGCTGAGCTCAAAATGGCAGCTATTTGGTCAGTGTTTCTCTTATCACATTGTTTCATGAGGCATTATGTGATGATATTATTATATATATTATAATATATATATAGATATCAATGATATCATATCTTTGTTAGACAGAATCGCATGATTTTTCTATTCTTTCATATCTTACTACTTGTTACATTTGTTTGTGCTTTTCAGCTGCCCTCTGTAGTGCCCTCTTTCAGGAAGGCTCCTGTCATAAGATGCCTTGAGGAGTGCTGATTTGGCATGTGTTTGTGGATTAATGATCAGATAAGTGGCCAACCTGGTTACAGTCCGTTTCCGTTTGTCTTGGATGATCTTTGGTGCTTTTGCTACGGGAACACAAGGGCAATCGGCTGGTTTTGCACCTGAGGCTCCTGTGGATTCTTCTGAGCTGTGCTTCAAGGTGTTCGGGTTGACTCCCCGTGATCTGTTTGCTCATGATGCTGAGCAAAGATCGTGCTTAATGCTGAAGCTCAAGAAAGACTTTTTGCACACCTCCTTCGCAGATATGGTAGGACGCGCAAGGCTCCTGCTACGGTGCAAGAGATTCAAAAGGATTTTCTTGCTCCCGCTCCCATTTGCAATGAAGAAAGGGTTGCTGATACAGTCTGTTTAAGCCGTTGGGCCATTGGGTCTAGGCTGTTTGAACTATTTTAGATGGGTGTCGAGCAACCCTCGAGGGCAATGGCCACTGCAAATATGGAGTGCTTTTGACTAATTCGAAGCCCGGAGTTGTAGCAACTCACCCCGGTGCCGTGGACAGAAAGGCAGTCGTGTTGAAGCAGGCTGCTGTGCTTTAGACTTTCATTGAATACAATGTACTTGGGGACCTTGAAGTCAGCAATCCGATCACTGCTTTAGGCCCTTGGCCCTGTCTTTGGCCTTTCCAAGTGGCAGGACTTGGTGACACGCAACCGCTCGCTGCTGAACAACTGCCAGGCATGGTGATTTTGAGACACTGATGACTTTTTCGCTATGGCACTTGGCCACCCGGAAATTCTGATGATAAATGGTGGCGTGGCAAAATCGCTCCCGCAGCATTTTTCGTGATCAATTTAACCGCTTCCCATGTGAGTTTCACCTCATGTCGTTTGGGGATGAGATCAAGACGCATTGGGCCTCTTGTCGAAGTTTTTTGCGTGATGGCACTTGGTACCAATGCGCTGACACTGGGATTATCCAGATGTTGTCCGTGTCATTTGTACAATCTTATACCTGGAATTCTGTCTAGTAAACAGTCAGTGGCTGGCTTACATTTATCAATAAGTTAGTCATAACACAATTTTGGGTTATAAGACTATACTCCATTTCCAGACAAACCCATTTCGTGCTGCATCGTGCCGCTTATGTTTGGGATTGCAGCTGCTCACCTGATCAAATGGGGGACCAAAAATGGGTCCATTTGGTCCATCTCCCATCACTTCATGAAAGGATTGAACAAATACAAGCTATATTTATCATCACTTTGAAGATTTATCATCACTAGTTCGTCACCAGTTCGCTGGCGAGTCGGCGAGGCGACATGGATTGTGCTCTTCTTCGCACATGGCATGAAGAACTTGGTGAACCAGGTGGAGATTGCCTTTGCCAGATCGCTGGTGTCATGTGAGGAGATGATGAAACTGGTGCCGACTGGGTTTCATGGTGAATTCCATAGGATTTCACCAACAGATATTGAGAATTATTGAGACTTTGAGCTGATTTTAGGCATATCCAAGTTGCCTCCAAGATTTAGATTTCTGACCAGCCGAGTTTTCAGAGCACCAGGAGCAACTAGCCGAAGGTATTTACACTGGCTCTCAATGGTGTGGCAACCGCTTGGAGGTCATCAATGTGGGGCAACTTGCTGCAACGGGAAACCATTGGACATTATTGGACATTTCTCTGACAAAGAATATGGATAGCTTTTGAAGCTAGAAGACAAGTGAGGCCGTTGCTTGCTTCCACTGTCAAGCTGATGGACAAATCATGGAGTTGCTGTTGAATCCCTTGATTGAATGCATCTTTTCCGTGAGGTACTCAATCTCACAGCGCGGACAGGCACAAGAAAGCCTCTTGCATGAACACACTCACGCTATCAAACTGGTGCGAGTTTGTACGTGGAGATTCCATCTCACCCTCCTTCCAAGGCTTTGCAATGCTGCTATCAATTACGATGGTGGCAGTTTTAGGCCGGATTTGCTTGGCAAGCCTCTAGTCACTAGTCAATTTAGTCTCTTCAACGTTCATAATATACCAGCCAAACGAAACCCAGTTCAAGTTTCGTAGTGGAATGTGTTGGATCTTCTATGATTTTTTATTTTCTGGACATCTTGTCATGGCGATTTTTGAGGCTCAGTTTTTGGGCGCAAGGTGGTCCTGCTGATCGGCCTCTCTGGCACCACGATCTCGGTGGCAGCGCGGTTGCACCACCCCCATGGCCAATATATGGTTGATATATAGTTAATGTTACTAATGGTTAATAATGGCTAATAATGGTTAATAATGGTTCATAATGGTTCATAATGGTTAATAGTGGTTCATAATGGTTCATAATGGTTGATAATGGTTAATAATGGTTAATAATGGTTAATAATGGTTAATAATGGTTGATAATGGTTAATAATGGTTAATAATGGTTAATAACGGTTACTAATGGTTACTAATGGTTACTAATGGTTACTAATGGTTAATAATGGTCAATAATGGTTAATAATGGTTAATAATGGTTAATAATGGTTACTAATGGTTACTAATGGTTAATAATGGTTAATATTGGTTCATAATTGTTAATAATGGTTAATCATGGTTACTAATGGTTGATAATGGTTAATAATTGTTAATAATGGTTAATAATGGTCAATAATGGTTAATAATGGTTCCTAACGGTTACTAATGGTTAATAATGGCTAATAATGGTTAATAATGGTTAATAATGGTTAATACTTGGTGATAATGGGGTTTCCATAAATGGGAAATCCTCAATAGCTGGATGGTTTATTTCATGGAAGATCCCAAGATGAAATGGATGATGGGGGTCCCTTGATGGATTGGAAACCTCCATTTTGAAAAATATCGGGTGTAAAAATATCTACTGCCGGAGACCTGGAAATTGCTCCCCCACCTGAAAGTTTCGGGACAGCACACCACAAGCTCCATGCCGTAAGAGCCCATATTATATAAATTGTGGCAAAGACCAGAACTTCTGTGGCCGCACAGGCTCTGTTTATGCTGGCTTGTGCTTTTCCAAGCTGGAGTCGACTTCTGTTTGTGATGGGTCAAGGTCTGCAGGCCGGTAAAACCTGGGAGACTAGGCTGGAATGTTGGGGCAACAATCCCAGCGAAATCAAACTCAAGGGTCAGCTCGTACCATCAAAGTACGTGATTGACCATCGTGAAACTACCAAAAAATCTGAGATGTTTCCATGGATATTTCCGCAGCCTTTCATCTTCCCATATCTTCCCCCATTTTCGATCAGGGGCTGTTGCCAATTGACCACCTCTCCGGGCTCATCATTTTCGACATTTCCGTGAAGGGTGGTGGGATGGCCAGCTACCAAGTGAAAGGTTTGCTGGAGACCTGGCCAGACTTCGAGTTCTTAGATCTTCTTAGTAATTCAGACTTAGTAATTTAGTATATTTCCAAAGAGGTGTAGTATCGTGTGAAATTTTGGATTAGCAGGATCCAAGTTCATTTCATCAGTTTTTTTTCAATTAACATAGTATTCAGACTGGTTTGCGTTCTCAACCGAGGACACCATTGGCAGCCTACTCTGGGGTCCTATACTGGGAAATGTTGTGCAATACTTGGAACTGGTGAACTACCACACTGCCACACGGACTGGAAATGCCAACGGCTGTTGACTGAGCAATGTTCAAGACCCCTGGTTGATCGTTATTTGGGGGTTATACTACCCAACATCATCCAACATCATATATATGATATAATATATATATACCTGTATACACGGGGATTACATATCATAATCCATTGTGAGGATCCCGGTCTTAAGCAATTGAGGTTTGGATGATCATATTTTCCATCAACGTAGTCGTGCTCAGCATCGCTTGCTTCGTGATGCCGGAACCTATGGACATGACTCAATTGAAGAAACTTGGCACCTGAGCTTAGGGGGCTTGGACCAACACCAACGGTTTTTGGATGGAGGTGGGATATATAATATTTTTCAGACTAGCAGTTTCTTTCGCTCTCAGGAAAGAGGAGGACAAGAAAGACAAGGCTATAGGGCCGGTTGGAAAGGTGATGAACGAGGTGATTTCCTACAGAAGCTTGGCTGAATGACAACGAAGACTTCGTAGATGCAGCCTGCCCGACAAAAAGACACAGTGCACTTGTCCTTACCCTCGCTAAGGAGATGTCTACTACAATCCTTTATCCTGGCGTTTCCTACTGATGGTGTGCATCGAACCTTGCTACTAGGCAATGTTGGCCCAGGCCATTTTGCCATACGGCCTTTTGGTGCTGGATTTTCAGCAGGGGCTTTGGAGTGTACTCTTAGAGAGCTCAGGGTGTCACATCTAAGGCTGGATGCACTGCATGGGAATGATTCCAATTGAGCTGATGGTCGCTTGGGTGAGAATCATGTGCACTTCGAAGTGGGGATAGCAATGAAACTTGGAGACTCCTCGGGTACTCAAAATGACCAACATGACATGGTGCGGAATTTCCTGTGCTGAGTACTGCATTCCTGTGGATTCACCATAGGCATACCATGGCTGGTCGCAGAGCCGGGTGACTTGCCTTGCGATGTGTAAATGAGAAATGACCAGTTGACGTCTCGTGATGGTTCGATCGGACGTTAACACCCGGCATGCTACAGTGCTACAGTGGTCATGCTGGGAAGTTGAAGCTCAGGTCACAATGATGATCCTGATCCAGCCTTTGTTTATCGTTTTCATGGGACTTGTGCCCAGTTTGTGCCTTAAAGTTGGCTACACCACCATGATGACCGTGTCGCTTGTCTACCTCTACAGCGTCCCGGCCTCGGGCGGTGGTGGCACCTTTGCGGCAGTTTGAATGAGTAGCCAGTGTCCGGAGGGCTTGGATTTCTCAGGTCTTGATTATTCTAAATTTGTCTATAGCTTTCTCCGATCTTCTGCCGGTGATGATGCTGGTGGCCTTCACCCTGGTTGGTGGCAACTTGACATGACGTGATTTTGTGCTTTTTTCTCTCATGGTTTTTCTCCATTGGTTTTTTCCAATGGTTTTGCTGTTTGAAACCTCGGCGAATCGCATCGAATCGCCAAGGCTTCATGCCGCTGAAAGAGTACGTTGATTCTCGATTTTCCACGCCTGATGAGATGGCGCGGTTTAAGAGCGTACAGTGGATCATCGGTTATGTTCTTGGCATGGCCCTCCTGGCTCGGTTCTGACACTTGCCCGTTTCGAAAACCCGTTGCTGACCTGTTTCAGTGTCCGTTTTTTGTGTTGGCAAAATTGCGCAACTGCTCTTTCCAGGCCATTGGTCCAGTGTATGCATCAATTTTCGATGCGAAAGGACAGACATACTTTACACGCGCTGTGCCTGAGCTGCCTGAGCTTGAATTCTACCAGCTGAATATTTTTTTGAATTATGAGAAGAGGAATGAGAAGAGGAAGAGGAATTCATTGAAAATCAATTTCTGATTTGCTGTTTCCGCACCAAGGCGCCTAACCTTTTGGCCTGCGTGCTGATGGTCACACAAATCCTACATGTCGACGGCTCACTTCTTTGCTGTTTCTTCTTGTATGGGTCACATATATCACACTTAGGTCACCATAGATCCCTTCAGTTATTGAGTTGCAGGTGCGATACATCATGTATCCCTACATGAAAAAGACTTTGCACATAATGGATGAGCTTGAGAGCAAGCTCAAACAGCCGCTTGACGAAGCTTTCTGCAGGGTTTTTCTGTGATCTGGCTATAGGTCAAATTATCGTTGGCCCATTTTACCATTGACTCAATTGCAATTCCATTGGGCACGTTGGGTTGATTATTAGCATCTAATTTTGGTCAAGTTCGGATTTTGTCAATATTTTTGGGATGATCATTGGGCCCGGTTTTTTGACCCGTCCCTTGTTGTTCTGGGATTTCTGGGTCAAGATGATTTTCACGAATCCACGGAGGGCGCTACCTTTTTGGGCAGCCGCACCGCGGCAGGTTGTTCCATGCAGTGAAGAAAGAGGATGCGCCCTTGGACAAGGAGACTTGGGAAGCTTCTGGCCTCCAGCCTCTCGGCCTGCGACCACCCATTTTGTGCAACAGATTTGGGTGATGGTGATGGCAACCGAGGAAAGCCCTGGGCAAAACCATTGAGGAAGCCCAGGGACCTTTTGCGACCGTTGTTGGCTTTAGAGAATTTTGTAGAAAAGAGAGCCAGGGACTCAGGGCAGGCTGTTGACTGTAGAGGTCACCAAGCTTTTGCTGAGGTGGAGGGACCAACGCAGAGACCAAGGCTTTCATCGAAAAACTTGAGACCCTGCAGCTTTGCACAAGTCGAATTCAGGAAAAGATTCATGTTCGATTGATTTTGGTTAAAGTCAAAGCCCAGCAACATATGGAACCTGGTTCTGCTGTGAGACTTCTGTTTGAGACCAAGCTGTTTGCAACTGAGGTTGGCCAGTGCGGCTGAAAAGGAGACCAAGAAAGCAAAGTGACCAAAAAGCGAAGCTGCGGTGGTGTGTGATCTGGACATCTCTAATCTCCCATCACATAATGTGTCCTTTACCTGTGGCAGCTGTAGCAACTAAATTTGGCCAAACAGCCCAAGAGTAGAGAACCAGGCTATGGAAAAATAGACAGCCATTCTGTAAGGCTTGCCAAGTTCCTGGTATTGAGAAGCAGTTTTCATTTGTTGCTAAATCTGCATTTGTGTGTCTTTCCGTGGCAGCCCGTTTCAGGCGCTGGACGAAGAAAACCAGGCCTGGCCCAGCTGGCCCATTGCAGTCAGCTCCTTCGTCAGCTGGCTCGTTGGACAAGGCCTTGACGGATCGTTTGAAGGAAGCTGAAGAGGCTCCGGCGCAGGCAGGTGGCAGGTACCGTCAGATACCCATCGCAGGCAGGGGGAAGTGGCCGCATCCCTCAGGCTCCAGTAGCTCCGCCACCGCAGAAGCCTCAGCACCAAAAGTGTTGGAGCTCAGAGGTTTGAGTATCGAGTGGTAGATGGGTATAGCCGGTATAGCTCAAAAATGGAGCAACAATGGATCTACAAGCCATTGAAGCCATTGGTCTTTCTTAGTAAGTAAAAAGCAACAAAAACAACCACCCCAATTTTGGGTGGTATTTTTGAGCCAGATCCAGATTTCTCGGGCAAATTGTTGGCACAAGGTCTACTCCTGTTGACAACTCCATTTTCCTGCAGATGGACCGACTTTTGCACTATCTTGTGAGCAACGCACCAGTGTTGTCGCTGCCGCTCTGTTGACAGAGGAGCGGGGGAAGGAAGAAACCATCCTGCGGCTCACCAACGAGCCACTCATCGCTAGCCCTGTTTGGCCTGTGAATTGAAATCGATCAGTTTCTATTCCGATTGGAATTGAACGTCAGCAACTCCAACAGCTCAGGAATCGAAAACTTCTCGAGCAGGCACTGATTTGGTTTTTGGCTGCTTCACTGGCTTTGTAACTGCCGCTTTGTGTCAGATAATATGGTGGCTTTGCAGGTGAAGCGATTGAGCGAAGGCTACAAACAAATGGAAGAGGCAGTGCAGGATTTGCCGTATTTGCACCAATATGTTCCAAGATGTTCCAATGCAGAGCCAGCTGCGTGAATTTTGTGTGAGGCTTTGATGCAGACTCGCAAGGAGATGAAACGGGTGGAAAACTCAGCGATAATGACAATAGGCAAGATGTTTTGCTACACACTTGATCTTTGCAATTTACACAGAGAAGATGCAAGATTAAATTGATCTAAATTGCTTTTTGCTGAATTTTCAAACCCAGCTCTTGCGATTGGGGATACCCTTGCTCATTGCTTCAGATCAAATTTGAAAGTGCTTTGCAGGCCCAAAGTCAGGTTCAGACGAAGGAGCCAACTGTGACCTGGCAAACCGGTTGGGCAGGTTTTGTGTTTCGCTTTTGGATGGCAAGGGTCTTCCGGTTTTCTCTGCTGTCTCCTTAGTTGATGCCAATTTGCGTGTCCGAAGAAAGGTGAAACTCACGGGCGGCTCTTCAGCTGGCTCTTCTGTCCTTGATGAAGAAGAGCGCATCTATCGGGAATTGCAGGCGGACTCGGACAGATTACAGCTTCGTTCATCTAAATTTGTCCCATGGCAGTCCTTCGCATGAGGCATTTATGATTGACTTGAAGCATCATTTCAGCAGATGGCTGATAATGATCGTGGTTTCTTCTTGATTATCAGATCATTTGTTGTTTCACCCCAACATTTTGCCCGATGTTGCCAGGGCGAGTCCATGGGTGACTTGATCATGCAGAAGCTTCAAGAGAAGCAGGTGCCAACGTGACTAATGCTGTTCCCATCTGACCTGCTGGGTGAGGGGTCACAGGCTCCTGACAATGTCTGCCCCAGGCTGAGCACAGAGTCAAGATTCAACAAGCTCTTCAGGTGCAAGCAGAAAGTTTACATAAGATCTATATACATATCAATATTATCATCATATCATAATATTATACATATACATTTACATAAATATCATAGATGATCAAAGCAGATCAATTCACAATATATAGTATTCTAACTTTCTTGGATTTTTACTTTCGTTTTATCGTCGGAATTTGGCACTGTCCACAACCCTTTCGCTGTTCATTTGCGGTTCGCAATGTTTGGACGACTAGCGGAGGCGTCCTTGACTGAAGAGATTGGCCGAATCGAAAGCTGGGGAAGTGATGTGACTTGGTACAAAATGTTTGAACAGGAAGCGCTTGATGTGCTTAGTGATCTTAGTGAAACCAGTCAAGGCTTCGCAAAAACAGCATGGTTCCTCATGGCAAGGTCAAAGGAGTCCTTCTCGCAGTGGATGGATTGGAGGTTCGTCTTGATTTTTCGAATCAGTCTCCTGCGTCCGTATGCTCCGTATGGTCGAAGTTGTAGCATTGTGCCACAAAATCACTGGCAATGCTGGCTTTGATCCTCTACTGTTGATCTTCCGCATCCTGAGGCCCAACTGAAGCATCAGCTGAAGGAGTTCGGTGCTTATGCGTCTTCCTGGTCGGGTCCAGATATCAGTGATCAGATTTATGGGACCAGAAATTTCTGACTATCAGATCTATGAGTGATATCAGATTTATGAGTCTATGAGTGATATCTTTCTGGTGATTTTTGACTCAGAAAGACTCAGAGAGTCATCCAAGTTCCTCTTTCTGCCAAGGCCGAAGTCTGCCAAGAAGGCGAAGGCCGTTGATGCCAAGGCTCGGAAGCATAGGTAGGCATTGCCCCAGGATATGATTCAAAAAACATTCCAAGACAAGAGTGGACACTCTGATATATATACGTAAATAAATGAATAAATAGATAAGTAATGATAAGTAAATATAAATGAATAAATAAATATATATATATAATTATATATATACATAAATAATTATATATATATATATTGTATGGTTACTGTATATAGACCATGTAGCATTATGTAGCATTAACATTTTGGAATTTATGATGCATCAGTTCATTCACTAACAGTCTGCTGTTTTCTGTCAGGCCAATGATTCTCGTAATTTAAACACCGAGCAGATCACGGCGGTTTCTGTTCCGAACTGAGGGGGCAAAAACTGCGGTACTGACCAGGTTGGTCCAACAAGGAGGGGATTCACCTTTCATGGAAACACATGATTAACATTGATCAACCATCAATTGTTGAGTACGTCATTAATCTCTCTTTGACAAAATTAGTATACCCAGAAATGATCCATGACATTCTAAGAACGAGTAGTCTGCAAAGGCCCAGCTGTTGGACGAGTTTGACGCCATGAAAAGCAACTTGGCGTAAATCACAGTGGAACATGCCCAACGCAGAGATGGATCTGATTTCGGATATATGTATATATATATATATATCATATATGAGAAGGATGAACATCCATCCGAACTATTTTGGTGTTGGGTACCAGGTTTTTTGGCATTTGTCTGGATGATAGATGATAGTGGAGCAGCGATTTGGCTGTCAAAGGCTTGCTGGAAGTGGTGGATAAGGACTGATGTTCGGATTGGATGCGATGGTCCGACCTCGCTGTGCCAGGGATCGCCATCTCCCGATCCAGCGATAACAAGATGTTGGGTAGGAAAGGTGGTAGATGCGTACAATAACAACATGTTGCGATAGTTGGAGACAAGCCAAAACAAGACATGTCAGAAATCAGAAATCTGCAACTGCAACTTCCAAGAAGTGCGAAAGAAATGTCCAACATGGATTTCATGTCACGAAGTTTGAAGCTGAATCAGCAGAGTGTGAGTATGAATACGTCATTGATCGACGTCATTGCCCCCCCAGAAAATGAGAGGACTGTCAACATGAGTTTGCTCTCCATGTCAACATGAAATTACTCTCTGTTCCGTATGATCGCTATCCATAGTTCAAAGGGGTTGGAGAAGCCCATATATGAATCTCTACACCAGGGACCTTTCGCCCACTACCTATATATTGTACCCACCACACTGAGTGGCGACCTGGTCATTGGCCCCACGGATATTGCATACTTACCTGCGCAGGAACAATTGTCGCTGGAGCAGACAGTGCGTGCTGCCTTGACCTCACGTGGCATTGGGGCCAGTGGCTACCCCCAAATTGCACGCTTTGATGTTTGAGAATGGACCGATCCAAACTGAGGCAAACGATGGTGCCGAGCCATTGGAGGGAGTCTCAGGAATCAGAACCAGAATTTGTGTGAGCGAAGACAACCCATTCCCTTGCTCGCAGAATGATCTAGTGTGAAATTCACAACATGTCGGGTATGATGCCCGAAACGAAATTTATACAGTTCGTTATATTTTTTCATCGCTGCTATCCACCTCAACAATATTTCAATCCCAATGACGGTGACCAACGGTTTGATGTTGTGTGCAGCAAGGCTGTGACTTTGGACCTTGACAGCGGCTTGGCATCTGCTGAAAGTGAGGCGAGGACGGCACAGTGTGTTTTTCAAGTACTAGCTTGGCAACTGTCCTCCGTTCGTGGTCTTGAACAATCCAAACTGAATTTCTACTTGTCATCCTGGTCTGGGATGGCTATCTACGAAATTACATCTATCCTGTCTCTATCTCATACTATCTCTCTATATGCATCTATACAATATCATATACATGTGTATATATAATCACATATATATATATATATATACATATATATATACACGTAATCCAGATGACCACCGTCTTTGGGATGGCTTTCAAACAACTGTCAACCTCTTGTCATTTTTTCGTGACTCGACCAAAATTGAGGCGGAATGGCTGCGTGAGCACAATGCAGCTTGGGTGAATCGCTGCCAAAGTTTGAGCTTGCAGCCCATGCTGGATGTACTAATGAGGACAGCCCAGCTGTTTCGTTTGAAACTGATGAAAGCCAAATGGGGAACTTTCTGTCACAGAAGGATTGACTTATTATGACTTATGACCTGCAAGTCAAGTCTTGAAGTCTTCGGAACCCCCTGCGGTTGCTTCCAATGATTCCAATTATGCTCAGGACTGACTCTGCCTTCACAAATTTGCTTTCCAAAGCACCGTGCCTGCCTCAATGGCACAGCCACGTGGCCACCTGGCACCTGCAATTTAAGCCATCCAGGCCTGGTCTGATGCCAACGAACGTCGAAGATTGCCTGCAGGAGAGCCGCGGATTTTGGGGAAGAAATCATCGAAACACCACCCTGTGGAGATGGCCACCTCAGGAGACGCGCGCGCATATGAAGGAGCTGAGCGAGCACCTTCAGGTAGGAAACATGACTTTGGGTTCCATAAAATGGGGGGTGTACCCCACTTGATTGTCAATTTTGACCGGGGAAATTGGAAATCAACAACTATAAATATCTACAAAGAGGATTTTTCGTTGGGGAGTAGCCAAGTTTTTGGAGAAACGCCACCTTTTTGCTGCCAAAAAATCGTGGTTTCAGCCAGCCAAAAAGGGTTGGCCGCCAGGACCAGATGGCGTCCATAGCTGACCTGCAGGAAGAGAGCGCGGCCTTGGGTCGAACTGTGAGGTCACTTCAGGCTGGGACGTCCAGGGTGGTGCCCCAGTTAGTTAGCTGTTAGCTAAGTTGGTGCAAATAAGTCCAATAACTATGGTTCATAGCTGATATATCTATAGTTAATGGGATTGTAATCGATTTATAAGTGGAGGGGCACCACCTTGAAGATTTTTCGGAGAGCCCCAGATGTTTCGGCACGTGACTTATGTCGGTTGTTAGGATGGGAATGGGTCCAAGTGATTTGACCAAGTGGTGTTTCGTTTTGTCCCAAAATGACCAAAGTTCTGACCCATATAGCAGTCGCATAGCCATAAAGCAGCATATAGCAGTCTTCTGGAGGTTTCTTAAAGTAGGGGATCCCCAAAATAACATGGTCAAATGACTTGGATGACGATGATTTGAGGGTCATGACTTGGGAAACCTCCCCACAGCAGTCATAGGTAATTCATCCCAGGTGGTTTCTGCTGTTAGCGAGGCTGCACAGAAGTCCCATCGTGCCGAGCTGCGACAGAATGTCTCGGAATCCATGAAGAGGCGCTGGAAATAGGGCAGTGGGGCATGTTGTCAACAGATTGAAGCCAGGATCTCTTGGTCATTTTTAAATGCATTGTATGGTATTTGTATGGTATTTGTGTGGTATTTGTATAGTATTTATAGTCTTAAATCAGCTTCAACCATCATTTTTGGGATTTTCGCAGGATGGTCGCCTCCTTTGACCAGCCCCTGGATGACATGAGAACGGGCTTGCGGCAACAGAGTCAGGCCAGGCAAAGGACCGGTGAGCACTACTAATGGTGAAGAGTTAATAAATGGCTTGCCATTAGTTAACCATTACTAACTATGGTTAACTAATGACTAATACCTGGTAGTGAATAAACCATTAGTTCACCATTTATAACCATTTTTAACCTACTATCAATGGTTAATGCCTGGTTATAAATGGTGAACTAATGGTTAACTAGTGTTAAGTCATGGTTAATAAATGGTTCAAAAATGTTTGACTAATGACTAGTGGTCACGGTTAACACATGGTCAACAATCCCATCCTTTATCCCATCCTTTTAGCTTAGTTGACCACTAATTGATGAAAAGTGCCATCCTTTTAATGTTAGGGATGATGATTTCAAACTATTAGATGCCCCAATAAGCGACTCCACAATGAATAGATCCAGTACTATAGAAGTTTTTTCAATCTTTGGGGCCCAGAAAAATGACAGGGTGCTTATGATATCTGATAATACGATATAGTACGGATAGACGCGCCACTTGAAGTGGGCTTCCAAATGCCTTTCTATTTTGGTTCACAGGCGCTCTCCAAAGCTCGATCGCAAGTCTCCAAGCTTCTCGACGGTAGGGAACTGAGGCTGCTTGACACTAGCAAGACATTGAGTACAGTAATTCTGAGCAATTAAGGTTTGTCATTTGGACATGTACATGCATATTGACATAATTTTACACAGACCCGTGCAACTATGATATGCATACCAACTAAATATAGATGGTACATTTGTTTTTCATTTTTGATTTCAAATAGAACGACTGAAGACTTGTCAACTCTTTTGGCATGCATTTTCAGGTATACCGTAAGATATAGACATAAGCAATCTATCTATTTATCTAATCCACTCCAATCTATAGTCTAATCGAATCTAATCTAGTCTTATGTTATCCTATCCAATCTTATGTTAATCGAATCTAATCTTATCTAATCTAAATCTAATCTATCTATCCCTGTCTCCAGATCCATGTATATATCCACAGCTATACCTTTTATTTCTTCCGAAAAGATCAGTCCCTAGCTGTTCAGACCTGGCTGCAACGACTCACCGAGCGGCCTTGGCACAGGCGATTTCACCACCATTTTGTTTTTTTGGGAAATTATGTTTTTTTTCTTTTAAATTAAATATATTTAAAAATAATGTAGCAACTTTTTAGGTCTTTTTTGATCTTTTTGTGTGTGTCTGAAAAAGGGGGAGGATGATAGGATGACCCCCCGGTGCGGATGGAATGGCTTTTTTCTTTTTGGGATTTTGAGACAAACCCTTCGCGGACTGCACGCTATCATCGATGTTATCGGTCCTTTGTAATGTGGAAACCCATACTTTAAACTTTAAACGGGTCCCATACTCTTGGGAGACAACCATATAGCAACCTCTGGAGTAAAGGAGTAACCCACCCTGTTTTTCAACAGTCTTTCCAGGACGGATTGGAGCACGGGAGTGACGGATTGAACACGTCAATGGGTGCTGTCCGCCAGGGACCAGCCAAAGATCTGCCCTCAATAAGCTCCGAATTACAGGACTCTGCCTCACCAAAGGTTGCTGCAAAACACTTTTGATTTTCGCGGTCTAGTGGTCTTGGCAGGAATTTATTATGTCCGAAATTCGGCAGGCCTGGGCACTTATCACCTTGAATCAATGGGATTGGCAAGGAACTGTGCAGACATGCCCTAGATTTCTAGATTCACTGGCTCACTTGGCCGATGTTTGAGGTTCGTTCCATGGGCAAGAAGCTGGTAACCAACTTGGAGGAGGGTTGCAAGGCCACAGCGCGTTTCCATCACAAATTGGTTGGGTCATCCATATGGTCCAGGGACCCATGGATCAGACGGAAGACTTCTAAGAATCTAGCAACTGGCTCAGATTTTCCTGGAACTACCCAAGTCTGACTCAGGGACTCAGGGGTTAAATCAGTGCTGAGGGGTTAAATCAGTGCTTAAAAAAGGGCTGCTGTCGTCCAGGCGGTGGAAAAGCGCATGCATCAGGTCATTGAGGTGCGCTGATCCGCTGACGGCAACCAGCGGTTGCTGGTCTAAGTGGTGTCGCTCGAGGCTATTTCTGGGGAAGCTCCGAAGAGTCAATTGCATGGAAGGCCAGCGGCGAGGATGTATCACAGTTTATTTCAAGCTATCAGAATCGGGACATCCAAATTTTGGTGATTTGAGTGGGGAAAACCAAGACCGATACACTGAAGGACTTGTGGGTGGCACTTTTCAAGATAACCCATATGTCTCTTGGCCATTGTTGCAAGCTTGCGTTGAATTAGAGGCGTGATGTATCACAGGACATTAGCTGGGGCCATATGTCGTAGTTGTGTGTCAACAGCACTGCCGCATTTTTTTGGCTCAGCGGGAGACGTGTTTTTACGTGGATCCCATTTGATTCGTGGTGCGGGCACCCAAGTTTCTTCGTGCAACCAGGTCCTACTGCGGGAACTCATAGCCCCAGAATTGGTTGAACATCTTCAGGAACCCATGGGAAAAATCGTGGTTTCCTGAAAAACCATCCAAAAGCTGGTCCATATCCCACCATTTTTGATGGACCAAGGCTGTGGGACTATGACCCTGTTGCAGCGTGCTGCTCAGGCGCATTCTTGATGTTGCACCAATCAATTTCCATTGATTTTGAAGCAATGAATCAGATTTTCCAGATTGAAGTAGATTTTTATGTCAGATTATCCATTCGTCAGATTTCCCCAATCAAAATTGGACATTCCCAAGCAGATTTGTGTCAGTTCATGTCTAATCTGCAGCACAACCCTAGCGCCAGGCTGCCCGGTCTGGGGTACGTCAGGCATCCACCGCGGTGGTCGCTTCCAGCCAGGACCGTGGGAATTTCACGGATTCCAACATCAACATATGGAGATATACTGTATATGTATATATATATATTATATATAATACATATACACATACACACATATAATTCATGTTTTATATGGATGTTGATTATGTTGATTGGCCTATTTTTTTAGGCCATTCACCATTGGACCAGGTTTTTTAGGTCAACTGGTTGATGGGGATGAAGTGGCTGGCAGCCCTCATTTTTCATGGATGCACACCATCGATTCTGAATCAACCTTTGGGGTTGCCACACTTTTTGACTGCCCGAACAATCATAGGACCCCCCCTTGGATGAATGTATTCGCCTAGTATGACAAATGGTCTTGCAAAGTGTCCTTAGTTTGCGGGCCTTGTCCATGCCGGATCCGGGCAATGTGGCAATGGAAAATCTCCCTATAAATGGAGGTTTAACTGGGAAAATTATCTATAAATGATGGATTTTCCAGCACGCCATGTTTGATTACCGGAGGGTACCATTATGACCTTCGTTGGGATGTCCCGTTTCTGTTGGAACAGGAGTCTTTTGCTCAAAAGACATGGCGTTGGTCTCTTGGAAGCAGCTAATAGATCCCAGGGGGTGGTGCTGTTTTGATGTCGGAATCCCCAAACAGATAGTTGTTGTGATTTCCCACTTACTGTTGTGCATTCTGATTATATATATATAGAGTTCAATCATGCTGATGATATATGGAGTTTAATCTTCCATTTTTTTGAGGGGAGTCCTATGAATCAATGGGGTGCAATCTGGATTGTTTCCCTGCGATGGTCCTTCATCCCTGGGGGTGTTCATTGCAGCTCCATATTGTCCCCACCAGCCACTTCGGTATATTGCTGGCTGGATTTTGATTGAGAGTCGATTGCAAATTCAGCATCCAGATATCCGGGTTCGGTTTGGATCTTAATATATTCAAACACCCACACGAAGACACTGCCGGATTTCTCTGAGAATAAGGTACAGTACCCACAAATCCAATGGTCAATCATCGTTTTCCCATGTTTTCCCCATCAAAATTTCATGATTTTGCGGGATACATTGCATTTTCAGACAGACCTCTTCCCCTCAAGCCTGCAACTGCAGGCTTGACGTGACGGGTTTCTATACGTCCGAGCCTATGTCAATGTGACAGTTCCTTCGCATTTCTTCATATAATGCATGCATTTGGAGATGGCTCCAAAAAAAGAATTCGTTCACATCGATTTTCTAGGTTTATAGCTGGGAAAATCATCAAACAATTTCTGGGAGATTTTCCAACATGTTTGCTTACCAGGGGGTAATCTGGCCCAATTTTCTGGGCATTTCTGGTAGAACTCGGGGCCAGGAAGTGGCACTCCCGTCGTGCTTGGATCCTTGATCTGGATCCTCCCCACCGTGCAGCTGCGGCTCCTTGGCTCCATTAGACGATTAGCAAAGGAACGCTGCGAATTTTTCTGTGGATCCAAGGTCATTATCACGGAGTACGAGCGCAAATTGCTGATGTGGCTCACCTGGATGAAGCTTGGCTTGTACTTCTGAGATTTCTGAGCCCATGTGAAGTTGTTCCTGAAAATCCATGCAGACTCAGAGAAGAGCATCCAAGGAATTTCGCGTTCATTCCCGTCAGCGTGTGGTACTGGTGTGGCCTCACAGGTTTTGCATATCTTCGCAAAGCAAAGGACAGCTGAAGTCTCGCCCAAAGTGAACTGGATATGAGTCAAAACCATGCCCTAGGTACTGTACCCTATAATAGCTGGTTGACGGATGGTTATTCCCCCAAATATGGTAATTTTATAGATTCAACCCATCCGCAACTGTTGATTTGAGGTATGGTCAGTTCACTCACTTGGCCTGCAAGCCACCAGTCCCTTTGATGGCTGAGTGCGCCCATAGCGCTGTCTGGATTTACATTTCAACCACTTGGCTATGGCTCAAAATGACGGGCCCGAAAGAAAAAATGATTATTGTGACCCCAGTGGAACCCTACTTTCGAGCCACACCTCATTTTGGGTTTAGTTGAAAATAGGATACTCCGCAATCCCAGGGTTTGTCATCGTATTCCCCATTCATTCAGTTGCCTTAGGGCCTTAGGGGATTTTCCAGTTTGGGACAAGCCGATTTGTGGCTTGAGAGGTACCAATATGTGAATGGCCGCAAGCGCGACTTTGCCTTCCATGGTGGCCGTTGGCATGACTGCAAGGAGTGACGCCCCTGGGGTTGTGTGAAGACTTGGACCCCCCTGAAATCCTTGGTTTTTCCATCCTATCCTTTCTCCTGTGAAATGGCTAATCTGTTGGGCAACATTTTGAGACAAATTCATTGTCATATATCCCCATGAGGTTTATAATTCGCCAATTTTCGATCCACTATCTCTTGGCTGCAAGGAGTGCCGCTGGCTGGAGACCGAGTGCAAGAAGTTGTGCTTCGACAGGCCGGATTTCTGAAAATTGGACGCAGGGAATATCTACAGGGGACCCCCTGAATCTTGGTGGGAAAAAACAATGGCTTCCAGTGATTGTAGGAACATGAAGAGGCACCAAAAGGTATATTGGTTGAAGGCGATTCATGGGGTTTGTGGATTTCATCGACCAGTTTCTTGCAATCGGCCGTGGTTGGCACCGGCCATTGACCGTCAGAGAAAAACTGATATGGTAAACATCCCCCAACCTTGTTACCCTCCAGTCATCAAACTCAAACATGCTTTGTTGGAAAATCCTCGATACGGATGATTCTCCTGTGAAGACCCCCCTAAAGTTTTTTCCAATTTAAAACCCATGAAATCACCATTTTTCATGGGTAAATCGGGTAAATCATCTATGAATGGGTCATAGGATGCCATATATCACTACCCAGGCTTCAACCCCCCCGGAGGCTCCGTCATGAGGGCCGTGAGATTTGGGGCTTGCGACGCCCACGTTCTCAGACCTTGGGTTGCTCAGCTGAACTTGGGCTTCGAGAATCAATGGGATTTTATGGGGATATCATGGGGATATGGGTATGGGTCAATACCTATTAATACCATTTTTAGTGGGATGAACATCCATTTACCAGCTATTTTGATGTTCACCAGGGGTACAAGGTTTTGACACACTGCCATATCATGATTTTGTGGGGATAATTGATATTTTGTGGGGATCATGGAGACAACTTGGGATAGAACCCCTATACAAAAGGATGATTTCCATCCGAAAATTGAGAAGAATCTGACCGTTTCAGGGTCGTGAGGGCTTGCGTGGCACCAATGTGACTTGGTGGTGCCAGTCGGATTCACCATCAAGCCTGACCACTAACCGGCCAATGTCTAAGACAATCTTCAAAAATGCTAGAAGTCCCAAAGATCATCAAAGATCTATTGTTTGATGCTAGACCTGACCAATTTTGTGGGTTCATTGAAGCTCTCACTGAAGCAGAGACGAATTCTGTAGCCATGCTCAGGTTTCCACTGAGTGCAACGGAGCGCATCAGCATCCACTTTTCTTCCTCCAAGAGTCAACTTTGGATCAAACAAATGATTAGGACAGATGATTTGCTTCACATATTGTGGTTCGAAGATGTGGGGATCTGTTCCATAATGAATCTGTTGGAGCCACTGGTAAGACGACCACTCTTCGCTGAGATGTCTTGCAGTATGAATGGATGCTGTCAACCGAAAAGCGCCGCTATCGGTTCTTGGGCCCACTGCCCTCGGATTTCTGTTTTTGGAAGACTCGGAACGAAACGAAGGCAGCCTCAGTGGAGTGTAAAACAGCAGCGGCCGGAGTGGGAGTGGGAGTGGGAGTGGCATGTCATGGCATGTCATCAAAAACCAATGTTTCTCCAATGTTTCTCCACCTTTCGGATTCCCAACGATTCCCGAGGTCTCAAAAAAAATCGGGAAAAACCATGAGAAAAACCAATGGAGCCAATGGGATACCCCCACAGAGGCAACATGGACATGACAGGCAAGCTGTCCAGGATGCAGGCCAAAGCTTGCTGAGCTGGTCGCTTCTGGGAGGGTCCATGGTTTTCTGAAATGTTTGGACAGGACCAACCAGAGTTACTTAATGTATCTTAATGTTACTTAGCTGAACATGAAACGGTGCTTACTCTTTACATCTCTTTACTATTGTGCTGCAGGAGAAAAGGAATCCACAGAGGCATGGAGTGGGGCTCGCTCCCAAGCGATGGAGGGCAACGAGCAACGCTGCCCTGTGCGAGGCGAAGAAGAAACACAAAAAGAAGAAAGGCGGCCATGGGGCCTCAGCCCCAGTCTCCAGGATGGCCATTGGGAGCCAGACATTGCACCAATTGATTCATCGTTGTAGGCCAAGGGTGGAAATGCAAATGGGAAAGACGTTGAAGAGGATTCAAAGACTGAACAAAGGTGCCACGCTCAGTCTGGCCAACCTTGAACGCTGGCTTCAGCTGCCTTACCAACTGTGATTGTGACTTCTGTCAGGTCACAAAATGAACCTTCCAAGGGTGAGGAACGAGTCTTAGTCCAGTCTTGACTCTGCATCTTGTCGTGGATTTGGGGCCACTGTATATCAAAAGCTGGAATGGCTTGCCCTATGCATCAAGGCTGGCCTTGAAGACCGGCAGAAGTCTTCTGAGGCCTGGGTTGTGACAGGTGGATCTGCCTATTGAAGGGCTAAGCTTCAAGAGGATGGGCAGAAAATGTGGATCTTGACGTGGCTTTGACCAAAAATGGGGGATACTTAAAAATGGCGATTTAAACATCTTTGAAATAATCATAGGATTGGAGTATGATATACCATATATATACATACACCATATTCATGTCTCAGACCACCCCATGTTTCAATATGCTGCGAGGCAGAAGGGCCTGACAAGGATGATGCACAGCTCCGTGCAGAGCTCTCGCCTCAGAATGGTTGGATGCTGGATGGGGCTGGTGAGCTGATTTTTTGTGGCTTGTGAGCCACGAATCTCTGGAATGTCTGGAATGAGCTCATGCTTGGACTGGTAAGTGTCTTCCCACCCTTTCCAAGCCTTCACAAGGTTTCAGGAAGCCTTTGAAAGTGCTTCCACTCCAGCTGGTTCGAAATCTAAGAAGGCTGAGAGGCGGGAAAATTCACCCACAAGCTGCACAACAGCGAGAACTGCTTGCTTGTGACACAAGTGGAAGTGGCTGGCAGAGAGTCGTTGAAGCCGCTTGATCACAATGTTGAGATTGTTGAGACAGGCCAGAGAAGGTGCTGGCCGGCACTGATTTGCTGCAGGAGTGGCAAAGCACTTTGCCCTGCTTTGCCCTGCTTTGCCCTGCTTTGCCCTGCTTTGCCCTGCGGTTGGACATGGTTTCCGTTTCCGAGCTCTGGGTGCTCGTGAGGAGCTTGAGTCATTGAGATCTGGGACAGAGGTGCTCGTGCTGGTGCTTGTTGCGTCAAGGTTCTCCAAAAATGGATGCGAGTCATGTAGGTTTCTTATGGTTTCTTCCTAACTAACTTTTTTCAATGCTGTGAATTGCCATGAATTGCTGACCAGTCTTAAACAAAGGCTTTTTTCCGCCGTGCTGTTCAGCAGAGGCGATAGAGGCACGCATGGCAGAAAGGTTGCAGGCACGCTAAGCGGCTAAGATTCTGAGATCGCTGGAGGTGGATCCCGTTGATTGGTAGGAAATCTCTTCAAGAAACGAATGCAATGGTTTGTATGAAATCATATGAAATCAATTATTCACAACACGGAATCATGATAAATCATGGAATCCGATTCCTGGAACTTCCACTAGATCCAGTAGCTCATATAAATTTTTCCTGTCATTCGCGTTGTTTCGAAGCGGGCGCAAATCAGAACCCTTTTAGGCGGTCGTTTTATCATGCTGCCAGGCCAGGGTGAACCGTGCAGATGGAGACGATCCTGATTCCGTGCGGACCCGCGATTTTTTTGACGAACATCCGCTGCGGTAGATGACAGGATCATGTCAACCCTGGATTAATAAACCCCTAGGCTGTTTAATTGGGAGGGTACCATTTAAGTATGAGATTATGACTACTGGAGGAGTATCAGATGGCAGGATAGATTCAGATGTTTCGATTTGAAACAAAGGCCAAACCAAATCCGGCCGTTGCTGCCCGGCGACGCAAAAAGATGTTTGTCTTGTCCTGAGACAATATGCCCTGCACCTTTTGATGAGTCCCATGATTGCATGCCAGCACAGTCCTTCAAGTCCTGTTGAGCCACCATTTCATGAGGTTTGAGCACCAGTGAAATGGCATTTGACATTGCCTTCATTTTAGCTGGCCAAAAAACGATGGCGGGCAAGGATGAAGACAATCCTACTTTGAAAACTCGATTTCCCAGAAGTCTCACGCCGGAATGACAGGAGTCAAAACGCCATTTTTCAATGGCCAAAGAATTTTAGTTCCGGCCAGGAAGCTGCAGACATGAACAGGTGCTGCAGAGCACTTTCCTGCAGTTTTACATCCAGTATGTTTGCGACAAAATGTCTTCGCTTTTGAGGGAATGACATTTGACCAGTGTGTTGTTGGACATGTTGGACATGTTGGACATGTTGGACCGGCGGAGCTCAGCTTTGGTGCGTTTCTGCTGCTTTGGCTCAGCGAGTCAAAAACTGGTGGACCACCAACGAGAGAAAGTTTCAGTCAGAGCTGCCTGGGTAATCTCGTGCAGACGCGTGACCATGTGCGGCCGGCTTTGGTTTTCCGCTGATATTGAGTCTTGCATCGCAAATGTCACACATGTCAGAATCAACTTTGAAAAAGACTCGTGCCAAAATGAGAAGGTCTTTGCGACGTGCAGTTGTCCGCACGTCGGAGCTTCTTTCCTTGCGGAAGACTTCTGCTCGGGACCTTTGGGATCGGGAGAATCATCAGATTCACATCATGGATATGGCGGATATGGAATCATGGATATCACAAACATCACTAGAGAGCTTTGCTGTTCGGCACAGCAAGAGAGATTCCATGTTCTTGTACACCTACAGTGTTGCTCCAGTCCGACGTGTTCTTCTTTCCGATTCTTTCCAGCTATGACTCGCGCACAGGACAACCTTCGCGTTGGGAGCTACCCTGTTCCGCCTGAGGCGGGTGCGAAAAGAGAAGAGTCACAAAAACAAAAGTCACCTCACATCACTCAAGATCACTCAAAAACATCATATTCAAGATCAATCTCACCTCTTTGTTGAAAAGCTTGGACTTTGCCAGGCGTACATTTGGTGGCAAAACCGATCTCAGGCGGTCTTTTTGAGTCTGGGGCAGTTTGGAGTTTCGAGCAAGACCTCAGCATCATGCTTGCTTCTGTAAGTTTTGGCAAGGTTCCAGGAGGCGAGATCAAGCAGACCTTTTCTCACTTTCAGCAGAAGATCATGTGGCAATGGTCACTTCTTCAGTTCTGAACATTCAGCATCATTCAGCATCATTCAGCATCATTCAGCATCATTCAGCATCATTCAGCCGTGTTTTCTCTCCTTTGTTGAGCCTGTGGTGATCTGTGGTGTGCCTTGAGATGCCTTGAGATGCGAGGTTCTGGAACGCACCAACTCGTTGGTACTGGCGCCTGTCGGCTTGGGCCAACCCCTCAGAAAGATGTGTGGAAGGTGTCAGGGTGAGTGTGTCGTGTCAGGGCTCAATGCAACTTTAGGCCTGGCCTGTTGGCGTTCCCTGCCTTCTGATGTGCCTTTGCTTTCATGAAGTTCATGAAGCTTTATAACTTTATGGTTTTGTCACGGTTTTGTCATGTTTTGTCTGTGTTCGCTTCCGTGTCGACATTGATCTTTATTTCATTTGCCCTGAAATTCTGAAACTGGCCTTCGGACTTGTTTTGCAAGCGTGGAGGTACATCTTCGTGTACAAATCGTGTGAGTGTGACGTAGAGGCATCCATCAAAGCAAAGTATTGGTGGTGACGGAAGTGGATGTCGATGGAACTTCCAATGGCTTTGAGGAAAACGGAAATATGCACTTCCTGAAGCTGAAACGGTGAGTGAAATGAGAACGCGTGTGAAATGGGAATGTAGCCCTATGTAGTTCTTGTGAGTCTGATATACGCTTCTCTTGTTTTCGGCTCAGAGAGTCAAAAAGGCTTGTCCACCGCACATGTGCTTCAGCCAGCGGTAGCAGGGTAGCCGCTTGCGACCTGCGTGACCATGTGCGGCCGGCGTTGGTTTGGGGTTTGTCTGAGAATCGGGCCCTATCCATTGATCCACTGGTTGATCATCAGTTTCCTTTCAGTCAAATGGCCATGGCAGGGTATACCGTATACTATACCTCATTTTCAGACACACCCCAATGTCACACATGTCAGAATCAACTTTGAAAAAGACTCGTGCCAAAATGAGAAGGTCTTTGCGACGTGCAGTTGTCCGCACGTCGGAGCTTCTTTCCTTGCGGAAGACTTCTGCTCGGGACCTTTGGGATCGGGAGAATCATCAGATTCGCATCATGGATATGGCGGATATGGAATCATGGATATCACAAACATCACTAGAGAGCTTTGCTGTTCGGCACAGCACGAGAGATTGCATGTTCTTGTACACCTACAGTGTTGCTCCAGTCCGACGTGTTCTTCTTTCCGATTCTTTCCAGCTATGACTCGCGCACAGGACAACCTTCGCGTTGGGAGCTACCCTGTTCCGCCTGAGGCGGGTGCGAAAAGAGAAGAGTCACAAAAACAAAAGTCACCTCACATCACTCAAGATCACTCAAACACATCATTCAAGATCAATCTCACCTCTTTGTTGAAAAACTTGAACTTTGCCAGGCGTACCTTTGGTGGCAAAACCGATCTCAGGCGGTCTTTTTGAGTCTGGGGCAGTTTGGAGTTTCGAGCAAGACCTCAGCATCATGCTGGCTTCTGTAAGTTTTGGCAAGGTTCCAGGAGGCGAGATCAAGCAGACCTTTTCTCACTTTCAGCAGAAGATCATGTGGCAATGGTCACTTCTTCAGTTCTGAACATTCAGCATCATTCAGCATCATTCAGCATCATTCAGCATCATTCAGCCGTGTTTTCTCTCCTTTGTTGAGCCTGTGGTGATCTGTGGTGTGCCTTGAGATGCCTTGAGATGCGAGGTTCTGGAACGCCCCAACTCGTTGGTACTGGCGCCTGTCGGCTTGGGCCAACCCCTCGGAAAGATGTGTGGAAGGTGTCAGGGTGAGTGTGTCGTGTCAGGGCTCAATGCAACTTTAGGCCTGGCCTGTTGGCGTTCCCTGCCTTCTGATGTGCCTTTGCTTTCATGAAGTTCATGAAGCTTTATAACTTTATGGTTTTGTCACGGTTTTGTCATGTTTTGTCTGTGTTCGCTTCCGTGTCGACATTGATCTTTATTTCATTTGCCCTGAAACTGGCCTTCGGACTTGTTTTGCAAGCGTGGAGGTGCATCTTCGTGTACAAATCGTGTGAGTGTGACGTAGAGGCATCCATCAAAGCAAAGTATTGGTGGTGACGGAAGTGGGCTCGTGTTCAGACCCAAGCCGGGCTTTTTAAGAACGTGGCTGGTCCAGCCTATGGCATAACACTGTCGTGGTGTGGCTCGATACAAAAATGCAGCGCGGAACTCTATGGAACTTGCTGCAAACCTTGAGACAGTTACATAAACTCCACAACACAACTGAATTGAAGATGAATGAGGTTGAAATCATTCAAGGAACGAGAGTCAAGGCTCACAGTGGTGGGGTCAGTACTACATGTCTACACACAAAACATATATGAATATATATATATTATAAATACAATATATTATATATATATCATACTCAAAGTTATCAAAGGTGAATCTCAATGAAGAGACATGCTCAAGCGCATCACAACACATTGAGTTTTCATCTTGCGCAACTGAAAGCTTCCATGGCGACGCGTTCTGGGTGTGGCTTTTGTTCCACGCTCGAGGCAAGAGTTCTGCGTTGTGACTAGGGTTGATAAACATTTTCTTTGAATCTTCAAGGCTTGAATGGCTTGATGGGACATGTTTGGACACTTTGGACAGTTTGCATATGTTTGCATCCTTCTATGAGAAGTTGGGACATGTTGGGAGTTTTGAGTGTCCAGCGCTACTGGCGCGCTCCGCAGCTTTGGCCTGAGGCCCTGGTGAATTGCTGGACAGCCTGGACAGCGAAGCCCAAGGAGAGTCTCCAGCGCGCGGGTGGTGTCATTGTTCATATCAAGCATCCAATATATCAAACATATCAAAGGTGGTGTCATTGTCCATATCAAAAATATCAAGCATCCAAGAATTTTTCCCTTTGATATTTTTTTAAAAAGAGCCTGGACACAATTTGCCGCTTCCGTTCAGGAATCCAAATGGCGTAAGAGGGCCGACGCGGTGCTGTGGGTAGAAGTTGTTTGCTGATTACTTGGGGCTGATCTTCGGCGGGCAACGGAGCGAATGCATATTGGATTTTTTCAATGCCAACATACCAACGTAGTGATAGTGTCGGAACTTGCCCGATTCAATTGTGAAGTTAAGGACCCAAGGACTGCAATTCTGTATGCTGAAGGTGCCCCCTTCCTACCCCACTAGCTCAAGACTTTACAAGGAATCCCAGGTCAGCGTAAATAGCAACCAGTCACATGATTGTAGTGACAACTCCATGTAACTTCGTGTCCGGGCACTTGCATGTTGATGCGATCGCAGATTTTTGCGCTGCTTTTTTTTTGGGTTCCAGGTGCCTTGCATGTTGGGGAAGGTGCGGTCTGCAGATGTGTGACGGAAGGTGTAGGCTGCGATGTCAATTGATGCGAGCGCTGTGCAGGTCTACGGCTCCAGAGACCAGGTGGTCATTCCTTACGTTTCTGGGTCGCAACATGCCATGTTTCCCCAATTCTCCGATGAATACCCTGACTTGGGGGTGAGCCGTTGTCAAATTCGTTGTGAGCCGTTGCTAGAACTTAGCCCTTGCAGGCTTTGACCTGGAGGGCAATTGACCTGTCGCCCAAGGTGCAGGGTCATTTTCCTCGGTTCTAATTTGTGTCATTCGCTTCACTTCTGTGTGTTTTCCTAATTCTTTTCTCTGGGTCCACAAGTTTTGCTTGCGGAGAAGAAGCATTCGGAGAAAAATGCCAAGATTACCCATGTGTTTTGCCCACAGAGTGGAACTGTGAACTTCAATGTCTTCCAGTCAGAGCGTAGCTATGAGCCAATGTGGGTGTGGAAAGGGTTAGTTCTTTCAATTTCAGTCGAGAATTGACTGTGGGTTGGGTCAAAATAGACATACTTGGCGTGTTTGAGGGTTCTTTCCTTGGAGGCCTGCGCCAATTCTAAGCCATTTGATCCACAGCTGGAATTGTGGATGTTGGTGGTGGTGCTGCGTCTGGTGAGGGGATGAGAAGGTTTGCCCCGCTTCCTAGTGGGGTGTCTGAAGTGAAGCTTTTTATCCCTGTGGATTCTATTGTGGATTGTGACATGAAAGATGAGACATAAGTATCCGCAGGAAATAGGACACTTGTAAATCAGGTAAAACTATGATTGCCCGCTCAACGGTGCATGTTGGATCTGAGGAAAATGTTCAGGTGGAGCTCAAACATCGAATTTCATCATCTTCTGTGGAAACCACCGCTCGACGTCCCAGCTGGTGTGACACGCAACAGGGCCACTGGCGAGATTGATCATTCGTTGCTTTCAACAAGTGGTAGACGTTATGACGACATCTACGGCAATTTGAGAATAGTAATATACCTATGTATAATACATATATATATATAGATTCTATAGACATAGGCTAGGTATATTAGAGGTCGGTTTGCAATTTGCCCTTGATGAGGCTGCAGAGCAATCAGAAGCTGCTTCTTCCGTGGAAACCCCTGTGCGACGTCCCAGCTGGTGTGACACACGTCAGGGCTATAGCTAAGGTTGATCATTCACTGCCTTTAATCAACTGGATGATATCTACAGTATTTATGTATGTAATACTAATACCATCTACATTAGATTAGGTAGGACAATTCTTACTTGTAAACTGAACATTTGTGAGATGGCTATCTCCATCGATATGGAAACAAAGTAGTGGGCTCGAATCTAGAAGAGTTTTGACATCTGCATCTGAAAATCAAAGTGCAAAATGCTGCATGATGGGGTAGCGGTGAAATATGATATGCGACCATCGCATGATGATGTTAGCGCTTACTTCCAGGTGTCACTCTGTATCACACCTGTTTTCTCCGCTATGGAAGCGTCGGAAGCCAAGAATCGTTGATTGAATTAAACACGTCAGCATGGCATCCACAGCGAGTCCAGTCTCTGTCGGACCGACGGACCACAAAGATGGTCTTCTAATTTGGGTCGGCAGAAATCCCTGGACCAATTCTTCTCAACTTCAATGTGTTTGGCGAAGGTTGAGCAAGTCGGTCGTGTGTCCAGGCTGGACGAGTTCACAAAGGGGCTTGCCCCGGCATTCGCGTGAGAAGCGGGCTGCACTGCAATTGGGAATCGCTGATTCCCACATCCATCATAGCATCAAGTATCATCAAGTGACATCATTCGTGCGTTTAAGTTTGCCCAGGATAGATTGATGCGTGGTAAAGCCGTAGAAAAATCCCCACTGTTTTTTACAGTTGGTCTCCGACCTGCAGCATCCGCCGTATCGATTTCACTGGATTTCATCAGATTTCGAGTCGACGCTTGGAAACCATGGCGTTGTGACTCTGGAAAGAGCGGAAAGAAAATCCAGATGGTCTGAAAATGGGGTGCCACAGTTTTCGAAAGTTAACCATCATCTTTCTATGTTGTTCTGTTCAAGTGGCCATTTAGGGGTATATCCCATTTTCCAACAAACCCGCATTGTATTTTGGCTGGGTTTGTGGTGTGCAGGCTGCACAGGTTGCATATTGCATGTGGTTGCATGGTTTCACTTAAATTTGACACGGCAGATGTTGGGAGGCACTTCTTTGCCCTTTTCTCTGCAACAGCTTATCTGGTTTTTCTGGCCCTCCATGGAATGAATGGAAGCATTGTTTTCACGCAATCAAGGGGAAGCATGATCCAGACTGGATGAGTCTTCTCAATTGAAGTGCTGATCAATTTTTGCACATGTCCGAAACTCACAAATACAATCAGTATCAAGGCCTTAGTGGAAACTACAGATGCCTGGTGCCATGGAAAGAGCATCGCCGCACCGGTTTCATGCTTCGAATCGACGGAAATCATCTGCGGTTGTGGCTCCTATTCCAGCTATTGATACCTTGGGCTGGAAGTGTCCCGCAGCCCAAGCTTTGCGCTCAGGTGGACCTGCAGCCGACATTTGTGTGCACTGGGCAGAGAAAACTTGCACACTAGCTGAACAACATGTCCAAGAGGCCTTCAGCAAGATGAAGGATAGATTGATCTCCATTGCACATCGTCCACCATCCGGCAGCATCCCTATGGTGTTGGCCCTTGCTGGTTCTGACACAGAGGATCATGAAGCCACCATGCGTCTTGCAGAGGTTTTGTTTCGCGAAACGATTTCAACTGCTTCGACTGCGCGGATTCATCCAAGTGAATTGCGAAGTCTGACATATGCGAATCGCAAAATCATGGAGAAACTCAGGAACCCAGACTCGACTTCAACATCTTCCAACGCAGATGCAAGTAGCCAAGAGGATCCAGATGTTGAGGAGGAGGATGAAGAACCCAATGAGGAGTTTCCGTCATTCAACTTTTCGGAAGCTCTCCAGAGGGGCAAAGACGGTCGTATTCCTCTCACGGTGCTCTTGTTCCAGGGGATGGACGCAGCTCCAAAGGATGTGCTCAGGCAGGTTCTATGTTTCTGGCATGCGCAGTGTCTGGAGAACGGCGCCCCTTTGCTCATTTTCTCAGGGTCCAGGCCTTGGAAGTATCAAAGCGCATCCTTTTTCGCATCGCTTTGTCTTTGTCTTAAAATAGGGTATACCCCAGAATAGCGATCCTTTTAGAACATGATCATCAACAATCCAATTTGGGGGTACCCTATTTTCAGCAATTTTCATATTCTGAAAGCATCCACTGTGAAATGGCCTTGTAAAGCCAAGGTTGAAGCAGCTGCCCCCAAGCCGCCAGTTCCTCTTTGATCTTGAGGAGGATGAAACCTGGCAGAATGAAGACTCAGAAGTGTCGACACAGTCGCGTCGTTGGGCGCTAAAGTCTTGAGCCATTCTTTGCAATTATTCCTGTACTGGAATTGTCCTTGCTACGATCAGGAACAGCTTCCGTTTGTTCACGTGGATACTGTGTGCGATCCCCAAAAGACTTCAGATTGCTGAAGTTCAGAGCAGGTCGAGAGTATTTCTTAATTGCCGCAATGGCCCTGATGCTATAGCCAGACATGACGGTTGTTCAGGCAATTGCTTGATTCAACAAAAGTCTGCGAGCAGCTGCTTGACTGCCTCATCGAGGAGCTGGGAATGGCATGGAATGGCCACTTTCTGTCCTTCTGCGACAGGAACTTTGTTTTCAGTTATTTTCCAGGATTGCTCCTGTCCTCTGACGATGTGTCCAGACATCCTCAAGAGGTTAAGGCAGGGCGACATCAGAAATGTGGTATACCGGGATACCGACTGCATCATTATATCACAACAAGACTGCATCATTCCGATGAGGATAACGATGATAATGACAATCCACTCGATCTTGGGTTGGACACATCCACATTCATATTCGGCTCAGGGAGATCTATTGCTTTCAGCGGCAGAGCGTGTCCCATATTCTTCAAGCGCTCTTCTTGCTTTTCGCCTCCACCTCAGTAGTTTTGTCAAAGGTTCATGTCGTTGAATCACCTAGCACATTGACACATTGACATCAGAGTCATAGTCTTGGCATATCTTGGCTCTATATTGGTATATCCAAGGATGATGCAATGGCAGAGAGCGCAATTTCAGGGCCTCTCTTCTGCGGTCAGTTTGTACCACATGGGCGCACCAGAAGACGTAAAAAAATGGCCTCCATTTGTGCCATCTTCAGTTGGATGATACTACCATTGGGGGATGGTTATACTACCATCAATTGGGAATTCTATTTTATTCCCTATGCAAACAAAACTGCTTCTAGCAAGTTAGAGCCTTCTGCCGCCCTTTAGAACTCTGGCACAGGGATTTATATATATATAATATACGCATATACATATACATCCTTTGGTAATTTAACATTGCTATGGAAAATCACCATTAACACAAATAGGTAAATCATCATAAATCATCGAACTAAATGGGCCGTTTTGCTATGTAAAAAAACAGAGTTTTTTTTTGGGGGATGGGGTGAAGCCATTAGTTAAGCAGTTAAACCATGTTAAACCCATTAATCCATTTAGTTCATAGTCATAACATAACCTCAGTTTGACATAACGGGTTTCACATGATTTAGTCCCTCAGTTATGGTCAGTCATGGTCATTTACCTCAGTTTGTCATTACCTCAGTTTGACCATTGTTAAACCATGTTATACCCTCTGGTAAACTAACATAGCTATGGAAAGATCCACCATTTTCAATGGGAAAATCCACTATAAATCACCATTTTCAATAGCTATTTTGACATAACCAGAGGGTACATCCCATTAAAATCACCATTTTGTTGGTTAAACCTCATTAAACCACCATTAAACCACCATTTTCCTATGGTTTTGACATAAGCCATGAAAGCTCTGAGGTTTGGCGCCCCTTTGCTCCGGCTTTGCAACGATGGCAACGATGCCCCGCCCGGCATGGTGCGCACGCATTTTCAGAATGAATTTCGGCGCCGCGCCAAGGCCGCTGTGGAAAACCCATGGGTTTTCGCAAGGAAAATAAACTACAAATAGATGGTCCCCGCTTGAAGTTGCAGGGTAATCACCTGATTTTGGGCCAAAATTCCAGCCGAGATTGGCTCAAGATTCTTGACTCCCAAAATTTAGGATCCTTTAGTGCATCCCCAAAAGACTTGGCCAGGCCATGTGCAGCCAAGAAGTAGCAAAGCAGTTTCAGCATCTCTGGCCTGATGAGGTGCGCGCTACCAGGGTCACTGCGCCCTGGTATCCTGGTGCCAAAATAATGAAAGTAGCTGGTAGTTATACACTATATATATATATATACATGTTATCATCCCCCCAATTTTTTTCTCAAATCAACCCATTTCTGCTGCTTGAATTATGTTGAATCTCTACTTTTCTCCTTTAAAGCACCATGATTTTCGTAGGGCTCAGCGGGTCACCAGTTCACCCCCCTCGTTCCCTTGGCCGTTCGCGTCCAGGGGCGCTCCTCCGCTCCTCTGCGGATGGCAGATGCGGCGGCTGAGGCGATGGAATGGAGATGCAGCTTGGTGGCCTCGCTGCCACTCTACGAGGTGGAGAAGTTGGCGAAGGAAAAATGGAGAACCATTTATGGGAATATAACATGGGAATGACACATATATATGATATTTAATATTTAATATATAATATATAATATAATATAATATAACTATAATATAATATGATATAATATAACTATAATACAATATAATATAATATAATATAATATAGTGTAATATAATATAATATCATATCATATAATATAATATATAATATATATATATATATATTTAATAATATAATATAATATAATATAATGTAATATAATACAATATAATATAATATGATATAATATAATACAATATAATATAATATAATATGATAATATATATATATATATGTATATATATTATATATATATATTAATCTATAGTGGAATGAATACGAGATACTGATGGGAGACAATATTGTTAGTATGTAATTCAGGGGAAAGCAGTAATCAAACCTGGCAATGGGCAATTCCCCATTGTTTATCAGAGAGGAATGGGACTGTAATAGGGATATAAGTATATGATATACCAATTATACTAGGAGAATGGCGGGGTTATCTTGAGGATATAATGTTACTCAGTTGGACATGATATTTAATGGATATGATTGGGCAATTTTAGCAATAACTATGGGGATTTAACCAACTATGATATGGATATAATCTTGGGATATAATGGGGAATCTTTGCGTGTCAGCATATTTGGGATATGATTGCAGTAGTAGATATGAATCAATGAATGTGTATCAATGGGATATGGCAAGGTATAACAATAAATATGTACATACACACACACATGAAAAATATGATATTCCCCAATTCCAGAGGATTATTTTTTCCCCTATTGTCAGACACAGCCATTTAAGGACAGAGGGAGACATGGGTTTAGGCATTGACGATCAACGAAATGTCTCAAATTTATCGCGATACAAAACATTTTTTCTTTAGTGTATCCACTATAGTGATATTTGATTTATGCTCAAGTATGATGATGATGATGATGATGATGATGATGATGATGCTGACGATGACGACGACGATGACGATGACGATGACGATGACGATGATGATGATGATGATGATGACGACGACGACGACGATGATGATGATGACGACGACGACGACGACGATGACGATGACGACGATGATGATGATGATGACGATGATGATGATGATGATGATGATGATGAGATGACGATGATGACGACGACGACGAGGATGATGATGATGATGATGATGATGACGATGACGATGACGATGATGATGACGATGATGATGATGATGATGATGATGATGATGAGTCTCTTCAGTTTTGAGACGTTTTGAGGATTTTCACGTTTGTGCAGTTTCCAATTCCTTGGGAGGTGTTGATGAACGGTGCATGGAGCACGGCCAAATTCTACGAGCGACTGCTTCTTGGCAGAAAGGCTGACTCCCAGCCCCTGTGGTCAGCGGTCACTGGCAGTGACTTCCGAGGCGGAGAATCCATCCTTTCCTGGAGGTGGGGGTCTGTACTGTTGTTTGTCCAGCGGTTTTGGGCTCTAAAAAATACCTTGGATAATGCTCGTTTCTCAACCATCAAATTTGGTCGTCCTCTGTTTTTGGGGCCATCTCATTTTAGCAGATTTTTTGCTGTCGCAGGTGGTTTGGCCGGTACCTGCAAGTGAAGAGGCCGGAGCTTTTGCAGATCTGACCTGCCAGCCGTGGGGATTCACTCTCTATGCAGGTCAAGCAGCGGAAAGGCCTGGACGACCACTTTCGTGCCATGCAAGATCTGTGGCGGCCTCAAAATCGGTGCAAAAACACAGCAGTTTTGCAATCTCAATGGGGGAACATGATGATAGACCATGATAAACCTTGGGATTTGGGATGATTTTGGGGGGAGCATATTTTCAAACTTTTGGCGATGCTGTGGTGTAGGTTGGATTGCCTTCAAGTCAAGCACTTGCAGAGGCCCGAAAGTATCCATATGCCATACTCAGTAGGAGGACAAAACACATGTTTTTCCGTAATTGAATTTGCAGTACTTTTCTTGCTGTCCATGGCCTTTTCTGTTGCAGGCTGCTGCACGCAATCCGACAAGTCTCTCCATCTTGTGCTTGTCGCAATATCTTCCATTTGTCAGTGTTGAGGAACCAGTGACTTAACCAGTGTTGACGAAAAATTGCCTGTGATGGTGAGGTGTGTCGAAAGCTCTTGCTCAAGAGCTCCAAGCCCTTCTGAAACAGGCACCCATTTGCTTTTCAAACCCATTCGTCATCGCTGGATTTTCATGATGACGTAAAGCACTAGACTCCAGTTCCATTGCCTCACTGATGTGGTTTTGTCTCCAAATAGTTTGCCCCAGAAATTGGATGGTTAAATACTTACATAAATATACATAAATCATGACCAATTTCATTGGTCCCTTGGCCCATTTCTTGAGCGGCCGTAGAGTCTAAGACGCCGTTCGGATTGCCAAATCAGGCCGACGACCTTGGAGATGCGAGTGAAAAAGGCTGGGCACACCGGGCACACCCCCCGGAAAATGGAATGTTCTACTTGATTGCGGCAGCAACATGTGGGAAATAGAATCAACAATCAGTTGAGAAGCCCCATAATATGGATTGTCAACACACACAGAGGTCAGCCAACTGTGGCTTGAGCAACAAAGTGCTGGTCCATACCCAACTGAAAGTAGTCGGCCGATGCAATTTGGCTCAAGCAAGTTTCGAGTTTGAACGTTTTCATTGACTGCGCCATCGCACGAAGCTGACACGAAGCTGAAGCATGGCACGGCCTGTGGCATGGCATTTGGCAAAGCTCCATTTGTTGTTCGCCCTGATGAGCATCCCCGTGGCAGTAGCAGATTGCACGAACAAAACATGCACTGCTGCGGGCATGTTTATCCAGCGGCGTGCCATTTCAGGCAAGAATTCACCTGAGGCGGGCGGAGTGGATGGACCTACATGGGTGGCATCACCTTTCAGCGGGTGCAAACGGGTGTGCCAGTCAGACTCATCTTCAGCAGAGAAGGAATTCCCTGCAGGGTTTGCTTTCCAAGATCGGAGCGTCCAGTGCTTCTCCCGCAGTGGGCATTTGATCGGTGAGTCCCACTGTGTGCATTTGATGAAGCCTCGCGCTTACAGGCGTTGCTGGTGCGGCGTGTCGTGGTGCCCTGCGGCCTGCGAAGCACTGACACTCACGGCCTTTGTGGACGACAACGACGCGAGTGGTGCCACTGGAGAAAGTGACCAAGACAGCGACTACGAATGCCTGGGTTGCTACGCTTTAGGACGGGAGAAGCATGAAGAACAAACACATATAAATGCATCAAAAAAAAGGGAAGCAAGGAAGGAAGGAAGGAAGGAAGGATGGATGGATGGATGGATGGATGGAAACACGAAAGGACGAAAGCAAGGAAGCAAGAAAGCAAGGAAGCAGGGAAGGAAGGAAGCAAGGATGGAAAGAGGAAGGAAGGAAGGACGGAAGGAAGGTTCTTTGAATGCTTGCTTTGTCACTTTCCGAGATCGTCAAACAACTGCAGTGAACAATAAACATCACCACCTTAGGTGAATGTGAGAGGTGACACTAAGTATGTCAGACTTTGCTCACAAGCAACGACATTTGCGGCGTATAGCACGCTCCAAGATGCTTTGTCTGACCAAGTTGCTTTGGTGTCATAATCAATGGCTACAATGAAGATGATTACTAAGGTGAACCTATTGACGCATTTGTGTGCATCACGACCTTCAGGTGTTAACACTCCAGATGGACAGAAGATACAACATTGCAGCAGAAAACATGCCTGCTCAAGTCAGAGGCAAACTAACCGCAGGCAATATTGTACACACATCGTTGCCAAAATATAGGCAATACAGTGCGCAATTGCGGTCTTGTGTGAACCTACTGACAAAAGTGACAATTTGGAGCCTTCATGCTGTAAGCATGCCTCGATCGCGCCTCTTCCGTTCAAAGCAGCGGTTCGATGAAAGCACCAGACTGTGCGCGACAAAGCACGTTCCCGGTTCCCGCTTCGGTGCCCCCCCCCCCCCCCGCCATGGTCCCCCCGGTACCTCCAGTGCCATTTGTGTGCTATTTGCAGCATTTCAGAACCACAACACAGCACCCTACTTGCAGCCTTTGAAAGCCGTATGCTACCTACATAAGACCTACGTGCTGTCCATATAGTAACATGTTGCATCTATATACATGCTGCTTTTCTACCTGGTGTACCTATATATTGCAATGAAACTCTGCCATGATATTTGACAATTTGCAATGATTCCCTGTATAACTGGTTTTTGGCGATTTTGTTTGGTTGGAATTTCGTTGGGTCATTGTGGCAAAAGGTTTTGCCACAAGATTTTGGCTAAATTTCGTTGATATACCATACAACCATACACACTCCATGACACGTGAAAAGCAAAAAGACCCGCTCACCGGTGGGATATTCTAAGAAGCCACCCAAACATATCCAAACTCTCAACGAATTCTCAACGAATTCTTACCGAATCGTTCAAAATGTATGGCAAAATGTACGGCAAAATGCGTGGCAAAATGTATGGCAAAATGCGTGGCAAAATGGAATGCCACAAGTTTTTTGCCATGATGGCCACAACCCCATACTCGTTTATACAGGTCCCATTGCAAATCATGTAGAGAGGCATTAGAACCTATATGCAAGCTATAGCGAATCTATATAATATTCATCAGTTGCCTATGGTTGATGTATTACCCGTCTTATTTTCATACATAGAACTAATATAGTACTTCTATGTACTTCTAGCGTAGCTATATAACACGTATGTTGTATTTGTATATATATATATATTATACGTATAAGTGTATATATACATATATATATATACATACACACTGGCATCTATACTCGTCGTGTGCAGCATCAAAGACCACCAGAACTCCCACCCCCCCACCACAGGGAGGAGGCAACTACACACACTACTTATCCATTGTAATTACTTGTATTGTGACATTCATGTTGCTACGCTGTGCACTCTTCGTGGTACGTGAGTTGATCCTTTTGCTGCTACGTTCCTTGTGGTTCATGTACATGAAGTGACATACGTGTTGCTGAGCACATCCACCAATTAGCATTCAGCTTTGTCAGCGTTCGCTTCGTACAGACAAGAACGGAAAAAACTTGTTGAATGTCAAGCCAGGGGATTGTTTGATATCAACACAGACCAGTCATGGCTGCCGTGAAACAAACAGACACCGAGTGGCTGTGGAGGTGCGCGTTTACAGGGCGACCGGCCGCTGTTGGATGGCGTGTCTGCCTTCCCGAGGCTTTGCCTCCCTTCTCCCAGCTTGCCCTTTGGTGGATGGTGTGTCCACATTCCCGAGGCCTTGTCCCCCTTGTCTCCCAGTTTGTCTCCCAGCTTGTCTCCCTGCTTGTCTCCCAGCTTGTCTCCCCTTCTTGTTTCCCTTTGTTGGATGGTGTGTCCGCCTTCCCGTGGTCTTCTCTCCCTTGTCTCCCAGTTAATCTCCCAGCTTGTCTCCCAGCTTGTCTTCACCGAGAAATGCGCATACTTTCACAGAACTCCGGGATTGAGAATGATGTTATCTTTCACCTTCTTCCTCCGATGTTTTCAACACATCCATTTTGACAGTCCTATGCTGCTTGATTCGAGTGTTTGGAACCAAATACTTGCACCCCCATCAGATGTTTCCTTCATCGTTTTTCGGCATCTAGCGTTGCGACAAAGCGAGCGAAACGGGAAAAAATAAACGTGAAGTGGTTTCCGGCACTTATTGCAGACATTTTCACGATTCCTGTCGCTGCTATTTCATGTGTTTGAGCCTGTTCCTCAAAACTTGAGCCCGCCAACTGTTTGGGGTCTACCGTGGTGTAAATTCTTGTTTATTTGATCAGTGCGATCAGTGTCTCCTGTAGGACAGGATGATGATGTTGCTGCTGCAGTGAATGTAGATGCTAAAGATACGACCTGTGTGAATTGGGCACACAAAAGTCCATGTCAGAGTGGCCTGCCGTTTTTTCGGATGCGCAGCAACGAGATGTCGGTCGAGGAGTGCTTCGAGTTCTGTCTGTCAAAAGGGTTGGACCTCTTCGGCTTGGTGAAGGGCGTGGAGTGTCGTTGCGGCGCGTCGCGTTTGAACCGCGGCGTCTGGCGATCAGCAGATCCACGGCCTGGGTTGGAGTTGGTGGACTCCGACAAAATCGGAAGCTGTGCAACAGACGAAGCATGTCCTCTCCGTGTCTATCGATGGCTGGGGCCCTTCGTCTCTGGTGGCTCTGTCCCTGAACATCTCATGATGCCAAGACTTGAAGAGAGTGTGTTGGTAGATTCAGTTGTCCAAGGCCGACTGTTGAACGAGGGAGATGAAGAGGATGGGCCAGGAGGCTTGCTTGATGCCGATGCCCAGGAGATTGAACCTGCATTGACGCAGCATGGAGGGAATGCCAGTTGGGCAGAGGGCCCTGCATGGCACAGATTATGCGATGATCGTGATGGATGTCAATACGCTCGTCCTTGGGTTGAACGAACCACCGTGGCTCCAGAAGGAATGACACCAGAATGGAGAGAGTATGTGATTGTGCGGTACAAGCATGACCCGGAGACTTCCACTCCAACGATGAGGGAGGCTTTCGATGCGGCTGCAGCCGAGTGGCGGCGCCATACGTGCGTCGCCTTGATCGAGGACCCGAACGCAGGGTATCCAAGATTTAAAATTAAAAAATCTTTTATTGTTTTTTTTGGTTGTTTTTGTTTTGATGTTTTTCTTGTTTTGTTCCTCGTCTGAGGTATCCGTACATCTCGGTGCAGAAGAAGAGCAGCTGCTGCTGTGCCACCCTTGGACGGCCTTCCCATTCGAGCTACGTCAACCTGGGATGGTGCGATACATTGAACCACAAAGGAAACATCATCCACGAGATTGGACATTCTTTGGGTACCTCGATCTTCCAATGACAAGATTTTTCCATGCCATTTTCCAGGTATTTTGATTTTTCCCAAACTACTAGAAATTTCTGGTCGTTGGAATCTCCAGGTATGTATCACAAGCAGATGCGGCCAGATGGTGCAAACGAGTATGACGGCCACGGACCACATCTTCAAGTCTTTTGGGAGAACGTCGACAGTTCTTGGAAGTCGCAGTACGAACCGAGGGAAGCCGTCTATACAGGTTCTCAAGATGACACTCTAGCACATTTGGCGGTGGGAACAGATCCTCAAGTTGGATATGCTCCGTATGATTTCGACAGCGTGATGCACTATTCTCGCTGGGCTTTGCGAAACTCTGATCATACAATCAATGATGGCTATTATTTCAACACGATTCCTTCAGAGTACAACTCCTTGACGGGACAACGAAAGGGTTTGTCCGAAGGTGATATCAGACAAGCAAACGATGCATACCGATGCAGGCTCCTTGGAGAAACAACCACCACCACTACAACGACAACCACGACTGTGGCGATCCCGGCTTGCATGGAGAAGGGCACGAGGTGGACCCCGCTGAACATGGCTGGCCAAGGCCGCTCTGTGGAGCCAAAAGTCGAGCAATGCATGCAACGTTGCACTTCAGTGAAAGGATGCGCCCATTTCTCCTGGTGGATTGATGGTGGATGCCACCTGCAGGACAGCAGTGCCACGAGTGTCTCGGACCCCCACCCCACCTCTGGACCTCCAACCTGTTCTTGCTACCAGAATCAGAAGGGCACGAGGTGGCACCCGCTGAACATGGCTGGCCAAGGCCGCACCGTGGAGCCAAAAACCGAGCAATGCGGGGAACGTTGCGCTTCAGTGCAAGGATGTGCCCATTACTCCTGGTGGAATGATGGCGGATGCCACCTGCAGGACGGCAGTGCCACGATCGTCTCGGACCCCCACCCCACCTCTGGACCTCCAACCTGTTTAGACATGACGACAACCACCACCACTACAACGACAACCACCACCACCACCACCACCACCACTACAACGACAACCACCACCACTACAACGACAACCACCACCACTACAACGACAACCACCACCACTACAACGACAACCACCACCACTACAACGACAACCACCACCACTACCACCACAACTACAACGACAACCACCACCACTACAACGATCTCAGCTTGCATCAATAAGGGCACGAGGTGGACCCCGCTGGACATGGCTGGCCAAAGCCGCACTGTGGAGCCAAAACCCGAGCAATGCGGGGAACGTTGCGCTTCAGTGCAAGGATGCGCCCATTTCTCCTGGTGGAATGATGGCGGATGCCACCTGCAGGACAGCAATGCCAAGGTTGTCCGGGACCCCCACCCCACCTCTGGACCTCCAACCTGTACTTGCATGGAGAAGGGCACGAGGTGGACCCCGCTGAACATGGCTGGCCAAGGCCGCACCGTGGAGCCAAAAACCGAGCAATGCGGGGAACGTTGCGCTTCAGTGCAAGGATGCGCCCATTACTCCTGGTGGAATGATGGCGGATGCCACCTGCAGGACAGCAGTGCCACGATCGTCTCGGATCCCCACCCCACCTCTGGACCTCCAACCTGTTTTGAGGCCTCCTTGATTTCGACAGCCTTGCTTGGTGAGGCCGAGCCATCCACGACGTGAACAGTGGACCTTTGGACGTTTGGAAGTTTGAACCGTGGACGTTTGAACATGTTTGAATTCCTCGAATTCGAAGTGGCTTGAATGCGATTGAAGAAAAGTGAGTGAGTTTGACATTTGGTGAAAGATCAGAAGGCAAGCACTCGTTGATTTGTCCAAACAGATTTTCAGAAAAAGACATGTGTTTAAGCGTGGCTAGGTACGGATGAGCGCCAGACATTGAAGCAGCTGCGGCTTTCCTTTCGAAGCTGGGTATCGAGCTGAAAACACATTTCTATTGATGTCTTGGAAACTGAGAGGCGATGACCGTGCTTTTGGTCTTGAGTGGTGAGGTTGAGAAAGTGCGGTCACAGTACTGGTCCATGCCTCAACTTCAGTTGGTTTGATCACATGACAGGATTTTTTTGTCAGTAAATGTGGGAAAAGACAAGAAAGAACTCATGCTGAGACCAATTTGTACGCTTTGAGTGCCGATCATTTTGCATGACAACAGCCAGTTTAAGGGAGACTGACACGGTGCTCTGCAGCTTGTCTATTCGATGTCCTGCCTTCTTGGTTCAGTGTTCAAAGCAGCGCTATAGTCGCTACAGAAAATCGTCCAGACCAAGTCAGCCAAGCTGAAAAACACACACACACAACCCTGAACTCCTAGACAATTTTCCCACACAGTTGTTGATGTGGATGTTGATGTTTTTTTTTTGTTGTTGTTGATGATGATGATGATGATGCCGCCCGGGGCGACAACTATGTGCGGATGAAGGTGGTGATAATGTTTAGTATACAGTATATACAAATATCACAATGATGAGAACGAGGATGACGATGACGATGACCGGGGTGATACCGATGACGATGGCATTGGGCGCCATTACTATTATATATTATAATATTTTTGAAAACTATGGTAGCATCATTTTTTCCCAACATTTGTATTTGTGCTCTTGTATCGCTATCCTCCGGGCTCTGAGTATGAGAGCGATTTGCAACTGTCAGGTGATGGTCTGATGTTCGCTGGATGACTGCAGTGGCTGCACGATGTATGTATTGTTGTATATTTTGTAGTCGCGCTATATAAGTGATATATATATATAAGTGATATATATATATATTATAATGTAAATATTATACACATAAAAGTTACTATGTTAAAAATGTAGGAAAAAACAACAAACAATTGACACAGATCAGGATTCGGATGGGACCTCCTGACCAATCCGACGAGGCAGCCTTTGCGGGGCAGAGCACGAGACGTCTTTTTGGCCAAGGGCAGTCTCAACTGCAGCAAGGCGGCACATGTTGGTGCTGGGTCTGAAAAAATGGAGACATCCCCAATAAATTGGCAATTTGCCATGGGGAAACCTCTCGGTTTTCAAGCAGTGGATGGAAAATGATGGAAATGTGGTCCACGTTTTTGGCAACACCAGTGGGTAACAGCAGCAACCCAAGGGGTTTTTGGCTTTGAACGAGGTCCTTCACCAGTCCTTTGGTTTGAAACCAGTACGTGCCAGGACTCCTTAGACATGGCCGAGAAGAGCTTGAGCACCAAATTCGAGGACCGCACAATCCCTGAATGGCAACGAATTTGTGGCCTCGTCACGTGTGTTGTGTTGATCAAACAATATGGGTTTGTCTGAAAATAGGGAACCGCCAATTCCGATTGTCATAGTTTTTTCCCCACATCTTTGTGTGGGGTTCTTGTTTTTGATTCTGTATCCCGGGTGCCGCCTCCTCCCGCCGCCTCCCTTACACTTACCATACAAAACTTAACATACAATAATTTTACATACAATAACTTCACACACAGAAACTTAACATACAATACTTTTACATACAATTACTTCACACACACACAAACTTAACACACACACACAAACTTAATATACAATAACTTCACACACACACACACACACACACTCACACACACACACACCTTTGTCACATACCATCTCTCACATCACAACTTTGTCACACCCCATCTCTCACATACCATAACTTCACACACGCACACACACACACTCATACTTAACTCACACTTACCATAACTTCTCACACTTAACATACGATAACTTCACAGACACAAACTGAATACACACAAACTTCACACACACAACCTTAACACAAACACACACAAACTTAACATACAATAATTTCACACACACACACAAACTTCACACAAACTGGCAGGCGTGGCACTTGGTGACATCCACCCACAAACTGGCAGGCGTGGCACTTGGTGACATCCACCTTGATTTCACGTGGCAGGCGTGGCACTTGGTGACATCTACCTTCGTTTCACGTGGCAGGCGTGGCACAAACTCACATCTACCGTCGTTTTGCGTGGCAGGCGTGGCACTCATGGCATTGGGTGGCGCGCTTGGGTGTGGTTTGGGCGCGCGTGACGCCGCGCCATTTTGCGTGGCAGGCGTGGCACAACCTTACATCCACCTTCGTTTCACGTGGCTGGCGTGGCACAAACTCGCATCCACCTTGGTGTCGCGTGGCAGGCGTGGCACTCATGGCATTGGGTGGCGCGCTTGGGTGTGGTTTGGGCGCGCGTGACGCCGCGCCATTTTGCGTGGCAGGCGTGGCACAACCTTACATCCACCTTCGTTTCACGTGGCAGGCGTGGCACAAACTCGCATCTACCTTCGTTTTCCGTGGCAGGCGTGGCACTCATGGCATTGGGTGGCGCGCCCAAGTGGTTTGGGCGCGCGTGACGCGGCGGCATTTTGCGTGGCAGGCGTGGTACAACCTTACATCCACTTTCGTTTCACGTGGCAGGCGTGGCACAAACTCGCATCTACCTTCGTTTTCCGTGGCAGGCGTGGCACTCATGGCATTGGGTGGCGCGCTTGGGTGTGGTTTGGGCGCGCGTGACGCCGCGGCATTTTGCGTGGCAGGCGTGGCACAACCTTACATCCACCTTCGTTTCACGTGGCAGGCGTGGCACAAACTCGCATCTACCTTCGTTTTCCGTGGCACAGACTCGCATCTACCTTCGTTTTGTGGCAGGCGTGGCACTCATGGCATTGGGTGGCGCGCTTGGGTGTGCTTTGGGCGCGCGTGACGCCGCGGCATTTTGCGTGGCAGGCGTGGCACAACCTTACATCCACCTTCGTTTCACGTGGCTGGCGTGGCACAAACTCGCATCCACCTTGGTGTCGCGTGGCAGGCGTGGCACTCATGGCATTGGGTGGCGCGCTTGGGTGTGGTTTGGGCGCGCGTGACGCCGCGCCATTTTGCGTGGCAGGCGTGGCACAAACTCGCATCTACCTTCGTTTTCCGTGGCAGGTGTGGCACTCATGGCATTGGGTGGCACGCTCGGGTGTGGTTTGGGCGCGCGTGACGCCGCGCCATTTTGCGTGGCAGGCGTGGCACAACCTTACATCCACCTTCGTTTCACGTCTTGGGTGTGGTTTGGGCGCGCGTGACGCCGCGCCCTTTTGCGTGGC